AATCACAAAATGGAGGCCAACCACACAATTCTGGGAATCATGGCCCAGCCAAATTGATACACACATTTTTTGGGGGGACATAATTCAAACCATGACAGAGATTTACTGCATGACAAAATAGCATTGCAGACCAGGGGACAAGGTGGACTAGTTGGGCAGTGGTGTTGGGGACACCTGGCTAGATGTTTGGAAATAAAGCTGATCTTTCTCCCTAGCTCTTTACAGATCAGTAGTAGCTGGAGCAATGATTTGAATGTCAAAGTAAATATTTTTATAATCTTAGAAAGGAAAAGAAGGCCTTCTATGTGTGGGCACTGCTTAATCACACTTTTTTTTTTTTTTTTAATTAAGCACGCATTTGGCCCAAAAACACTATAAACAAAATTAAAATAAATGCCATATTTATAACCTGTGGGACAGACAAAGGATTGACATCCCTAATATACAAAGAGTTCTTACAAATCAGTAAGAAAAAGACAGACACCCTGATAGAGAAATGGGAGAAGGAAATGAACAGACAGTTCACAAAAGGAATCTATATGGCCAATTAATAAATCAAAAAACGTACTAAGCTTCATCCGAAATCAAAGAAAAACAAATAACATCTATGTATGGCAAGATTTTGCCTTTCTGAACGGCAAAGATGGAAGATTGATCAAAAAGTAGCTAAGACCGTGGTGCTTTCCTACCTCCAAGCTGTCCACTGTCCTCCCATCTGCACACACTCAAGTCATATTTAGTCTCCAAAGGCCACCTCCTCTCTCATGTCTCTCACTTCTCAGCACCCACACCTGCACCTGTCATGGGCCCTTGTCACTTAACACCTTTTTTTAAGTATATAGAAAATTTCAAACATTTAAAAAAACTAGCATAGTACAGTGAGTCTCCATGTACCCATTATCCAGCTTCAGCAGGTTGTAACAGTCAGTCTTGTCTCATGCATACCCTCCCCACCCCCTGGGTGATTCCAGAGCCAATTCCAGACACCCTACCATTGTATCCGTAAATTCTTCATACATACCTCTGAAAGATGCAACGCCTTGCCACACCTAAAACAAACAGTTCCAAAATTCCATCCAAGACCCAGTCTCTGTTCACAGTTCCCCGGTTGGTCACAACATTTTTAGACATTTCTAGCAATTTGATTGGATCAGAATCCAAATAAGGTTCACACAGTGTAATCAGTAGTTTTGTCTCATTTAATCTATACGTTTCTCCTTCCATCGCTTTTCTAAAGGGCCAGATGGTAAATATTTTCCGCTTTGTTACAACATTGTTGTGCAAAAGTAATCTCAGATAGTATGTAAGTGAATGGGTATACCTGTGTTCCAATAAAACTTTATTTAAAAAAAAAACAGGCATTGGATTTGGCCCTAAGGAACCAGGATGCAGGTGGGTAGGGAAGAGTCTGGGAAGTCCCCAAAGGCGGGAGGGGATTGATCCAGGCTTCCTTCCCTCCCTCCCCCTGAGGTTTGCTCTCCTACCAGGCCTGGCATCTTAACTAATCATAAAAACAGTTGACACTTAGCAGACACTGTGCTGCTGGAAACACTTAAGATGCCTCAACTCAATCCTCGCAGCCCTTGAAGGGAGGCACCATTATGGTCTCTAAGTTGAGGGCACTGAGACACAGAGAGGCCAAGCCACTTGAGTCGTATAGCTGGGATTCGAACTCAGGTCTGTCAAGGGTGAATGTTGGACGGGCTTCCCCAGGCCCCTGACTGACTTTTCCCATGTCTCCCAGGCTTGAGCTACCCAGTGTTCAAAGGCATCATGAAGAAGGGCTACAAGGTGCCGACGCCCATCCAGAGGAAGGTACGCGGCAGGGGCTCATTCCGGGGGAAGGATGAAAACCTGGCCCTCCTGTGTGGCCTCTTGACAGCCACCCTTATCCCAGCCGTCACATCTGTCACCTCTCTTACCTGGCTGAAGCCCCACCAAGTTTGCCCATCTTACCATGGAGGAAGGTGGGCCCAGCGTAGCAGAGGCTGAACCAGGCCTCTTTGCCCATCAAGCCTCCCCAGGGCTGCCTACTGCTGAGGCCCTGCCCAAGCAGCTTGCAGTGCCCCATTCTCACCCGGGGCTCACAGTTGCTGTCTGCAAACACTTGGTCGAGAGGGAGACAACGTTTCTCTGGGGTCCCAAGGACAAGGACTAGACAAGGAGGTAGAGTCTAACTGAATCTGAAGAATGTTCCAACAGTGGAAAGAATTGAGGGTAGTGAGCTACTCATCCCTGGAGGTGTGCAAACAAGCTCTTGCAAGAATGAGATCAGGGCTGGGTGACAGGCCCCTTCCCATTCACTGAGATCCCTAACTGGCCCACTTGAAGCTTTGAATCGTGGTGTTGGGTGCAGGAGCTGACCTCACCCCCCACCCCCACACCCTGCACTTGTTCTTCTCCAGACCATCCCAATGATCCTGGATGGCAAGGACGTGGTGGCCATGGCCCGGACAGGCAGCGGCAAGACGGCCTGCTTCCTCATCCCCGTGTTCGAGCGACTCAAGGCCCACAGTGCCCAGACCGGGGCCCGCGCCCTCATCCTCTCGCCCACCCGGGAGCTGGCCCTGCAGACCATGAAATTCACCAAGGAGGTGTGGGCACTGGGGTGGAGGACAGCTGGGCTGACTTGGGGACCAGTCAGGGAGCCCGGAGCAGGGAGGTGTGAGTGGGCTGTGTCATCTCCCCTTTAACTCGTCTCTCTCTCTCCACAGCTGGGCAAGTTTACAGGCCTCAAGACTGCCCTGATCCTGGGTGGGGACAAGTAAGAACCCCCCTGCCCCATTCCACAGTCACCACCATTCAAGCATAGCCCTGTACCACAAGGGTTGATGGAGCCCACGTTGCCTATTAATCATAGCAGCTTCTCTGCACATCGAAAACTAGTAAGGGGAAACACGCAATAATATATGAAAACAAATTGGCCACAAAGCACTGCAACTCAAAGATAGTGATGTTCCAGAAAGTGAACTGTGGGCTCATAGTGTCAGTTCAGCTTACTAGTGAGTAATTTAGTGTGTTTACATATATGTTTCTTTTTTTGTTGAGAATATACGCAGCAAAACATACACAGTTAACAGTTTGTACGTGTACAATTCAGTGACGTTGATTCCGTTCTTTGAGTTATGCAGTCATTCTCACCCTCCTTTTCTGAGTTGTTCCTACCCCATTAACATAAACTCACTGCCCGCTAAGGTTCCTATCTAATCTTTCAAGTTGTTGTTGTCAGTTTGATTCCATTAAAAAAAAACCACACCTGCTGCCATCGAGTTGATTTCGACTCATAACGACCCTATAGGACAGAGTAGAACTGTCCCACGGGGTTTCCAAGGAGCGCTGGTGGATTTGCACTGCCAACCTTCTGGTTAGCAGCCGAGCTCTTAACCATTGCACCACCAGGGCTCCGTATAGATAGTTCTTAAAAGAGCATAATATTCAAGGCAGACTTTTTTTACTAGTTTAGCTTGACTGTTACTTGGTTTTAAGAAGACTTCAAGGGATATTTTTGGTTTAAAGTTTAAAGATTATCTCAGGGCAATAGTTTCAGTGGTTTATCCACCCTCCATGGCTCCAGAAAGTCTGGAGTCCGTGAGAATTTGAAATTCTGTTCTGGGTGTATACATTTTAATACCTAATCGTGGGTTGTTTAAAAGTTGAATACACCAAAATTGAGGAATGTTTGTAATTGCTCAGATTTGCAAAATGTATTATTTCTTGACATGCTTGTACCATCCTTCCAAGGTAGCAGCTGCCACAGCTGTTTTACAGATCAGCAAACTGAGGAAGTGACGGGCCCAGGGCCACGCAATGATTCGGTAGTAGAGCTGAGCTCAGAACCCCATCTCCTGCTGCCCACCCCATACTTGTTCCACAGTTTCCCTCTCAAAGGACAGCCCTTCCTTACTCTTCTCTCAGAATGTCACTGTTGACAATCCCTCTTGATTCTGAGAGAGTATTTTGCTTCTCAGTGTTTATGTATGTACATTATTATTTATTATCTCTAAAGCTTGTGATTGTCAGGCCTCCCTGGTCTAGGCCTAGTCCAGGATTCTGGCTGCCACAGGTGTCCTGAGGATGTTTCAGAGGAGAACTAAAGTTAGGGGTGTGTGCCCAAAAGGTTTAATTAAGAACAAGCACCTAGAGATCCAGGGAACCTGGATTCTAGTTGGAGCCAGCAATTCCAGGGTTAGTTGCTAGGTGGCGCTGTGGGTCAAAGGCAGCGTTGTTGCTGTCTGGAAGAGTGGGATTGTGGTGGGGTTTGTGGCTGAGTTCACATCTTTGGGGAACTCTTTGTTGTAACCAATTATTTGTATGTTTCAACTTGTATTTCTTCTTGGGGCAATGCCTTTGCCTAGCAACTCACCTATAGCCTTTCCTCAGCTCCAAGCCTAGGGTCTGTCTTCGTGGAGATGGGCTATGGGGACTCACTTGGGCATTTGGTTATGGGATGGGAGAGAGACTAAAGACACCTGTCCTGTCAAGCTAACACCTCCTCTCCTTCCTAGAATGGAAGACCAGTTTGCGGCCCTGCACGAAAATCCCGACATGTGAGTTTGTGGATTAGGGATGATGCTCTGGGGTCCCTGCCCCAGATGGCCAATGGCCAGGGTGTGAGGGTGATGGCCCTGGCCCTGGGGTGACCTGGTCTGCCTACCCCCTTCCAGAATCATTGCTACCCCTGGGCGGCTGGTGCACGTGGCTGTGGAGATGAACTTGAAGCTGCAGAGCGTGGAGTATGTGGTATTTGATGAGGCAGACAGGTAAGGCTGCAGGTACACCTGTGCATTTGCATCAGCGTTGGTTACGAGGCCAAAAGGCAGAGGTGGGTGGTAGTGGCCAGGAGGAAGCAGCTCTGCCGGAAAGGACCATGAGGGCGAGAGCAAAGCAATATCTCCCCAGACGCGGGCCACAGACCACAGACAGTGCTAGAGCTGGTCTCTGGGGCTCCCTGGACCAATATTTTTTATTTTGCATTATTTTTAGGAGTATCAAAAAGAGTAATAAAACACATGATTTTTAAGTGATAAAAAATAGCAAAAAGCTAAGAGCACAGACTTGAGCCAGACGGGTGTGAGATCAAATCCCAGCCTTGCTACTTCCCAACTCTGTGAATTTGGGCCAATCACTGAAGGTCTCTGGGCCTTGGTTGCCCCAGCTATAAAATGGGGATGAAATAGCCCATACCTCATAGTGTTGTTGTGAGGATTAAATGAGCTCATGAGGATTAAAGGACAGGCAGTCCCCAGGTTACGAATGAGATTGTTCCGAAATCTGTAGGTAGCATTTGTAGGTGAGTTGGAATAGGTACATACAGTTCTTATTTAGCATCAGGTAGTCAGACGTTTCTCTTAGTATACAGTATGTATCTTATCTTTCTATACACGTAAAACACTTAAGCACTTCCAAACCATGCAGTGTTTTCATGAGGGTCACAAGGTCACTACCTTATTACGAACCATTGTATTTAACTCAAATTTTTAATATAATAGGTTTTATGGCAGTCATTTCTTAAGTACGAGTTGTTCTTAAGTTGGATGTTCGTAACCCGGGGACTGCCTGTACTTAGGACTGTGTCTGGGACAGAGTGAGTGCTGTTATCGTTTATTCTAATGTGAATTTGTAGGGAACGTAACTAAGACAACAGACTCAAGATTTCAAGGTTATTGTTGCTTAGAGGAGTCCCTGGGTGTTGCAAATGGTTAACCCATTCGGCTGCTAACCAAAAGATTGGAGGTTTGAGTCCACCCAGAGGCACTTCAGAAGCAAGGCCTGAAGATCTACTTCCGAAAAATCAGCCATTGAAAACCCTATGGAGCACAGTTCTCCTCTGACACACATGGGGTCGCCACGAATCGGAGTCGACTCCACAGCAGCCGTTCTCTGGTTTCCTTGCTTAGCGTGAGGTTGTCAAATACAGAGAGGGAACTGAATGAAAGAAACGTGTGAGGCCAACTACACGGGGCAGAAGTTGTGGTGGGACAGGGACAGGTGAGGCTGGGACATGGGAGCGGAAGCCCCCCTCCTGACCCCGTTCTGCCCTCTTCCCCGCAGGCTCTTTGAAATGGGGTTTGCAGAGCAGCTGCAGGAAATCATCGGCCGTCTCCCTGGGGGCCACCAGACGGTGCTGTTCTCCGCCACACTGCCCAAACTGCTGGTGGAGTTTGCCCGGGCCGGTGAGCCGGGGGGTCGGGGGAGACTGGGACCTGATGGGGGTCGGGGTCTGGGGGACTTGTCCCTCTGTCTCCCTCCCTGACCCTCCCCCGTGCCTACCTCAGGCCTCACAGAGCCCTCGCTCATCCGGCTGGATGTGGACGCCAAACTCAACGAGCAGCTCAAGGTGAGGGTCTCCCAGCCGCCCTTACCCAGGCCTGCCGCCATGACTCAGGAACCAACCCACACGGCCCTTCTCCCCACAGACCGCCTTCTTCCACGTGCGTGAGGACGCCAAGCCTGCTGTGCTGCTCCACCTGCTGCGCGCCGTGGTGCGGCCGCAGGACCAGACGGTGGTGTTTGTGGCCACAAAGCACCACGCCGAGTACCTCACAGAGGTGAGCAGGGCCCTGACTCTGCCGGGGAGCGGGGCGGGGGGTGTGCGGGGCGCTAGTGCCAGCTCTTGAGCTTGGGGCCGCAGTTCCACGTGCCGCCACCAAAGGGCAGCACCAGACTGCAACATGCACCTGGTCTCTACTTTTTTTTTTGTTTTTTTATCATGAAACATTTCAAACACATACTAAAGTACAGAAAATAACAGGTGAACTTCCAGCTACTTGTTATGCAGGTACAACGATTATCAGCTCCTGGCTAATCTTGATTATTGCCCCTCTAACCCCTCTATTTTGGGGTTCATCCCAGCCATCTTATCCTTTTGTCTGTAGATTTCCAGCATTTGATGTGTTTTACTTACTTAAATTGAGATAAAATTAGTGTGCAGTAAACCATGTAAAGTGCTCTGGTCTTAGCAAGTAGCTTGATGAGTTTTTCTACCTTTAGACCTAGAAGAAAACCTTGGCGATTGACTTATAAAAAATCAGCCACCGGAACCCCTACAGAGCACAGTTCTGCTCTGTCACGGGGTCACCATGAGTTGGAGTCACCGCCACAGTAACGAGTATATACGTGTGAGACCCCTCCTAATCAAGGTGTGGTGGGTCCCTTTCGTCGGTGCCTTCCAGCCTGGGTGAGCTACACCTGGTGTCTCTTATCTGCAGACACAGTTCACTGAGCTTCAGTCACTCGACACACATTTACTGGTGTTTCCTCTTTGCAGCTACTGGAGTCACCCACCAGTCAGACCAAAACCATCATTTTTAAGGAATAGTTAATGCTTCGCCAACGCTCCCCGTGTCCCAGGCGTTATTCTCAGCACTGTATGTATATTAACTCATTTAATCTTACAGCAGTGCTGCAGAGTAAGAACTATTACTCTTCTTAGTCTACAGATGAGGAAACGGAAGCACAGAGAGGTTAAGTAACTTGCCCAAGGTCACACAGCTTGATAGTGACAGAGTCTGAAATGGTTCAAGATGAGGCTTGTACCCAGGGGTGGCCCCTGTAGTTTTCCTAAGGGACTCAAACAGCCCTGCAGGGAGGTGACATAAGCCCCATGTGTACTGACGAAGACACTGACCGAGTCGTCCAGCAGAGCTGGGGTTCAAAGCCAGGGTGCCGGGCTTCAGGTCCGTGGTCTCATTTGCCACATGTGGCACCCCCTGCCGTGGCCCAGCCCCCTCTCTGCTCGTCTCCAAGGCTCTCCCTCACCTACCACCCTGTTTGCAGCTGCTGACGACCCAGCGGGTGACCTGTGCCCACATCTACAGCGCCCTGGACCAGACAGCCCGCAAGATCAACCTGGCCAAGTTCACGCATGGCAAGTGTTCTGCCCTCATCGTGACCGACCTGGCAGCCCGTGGCCTGGACATCCCACTGCTGGACAACGTCATCAATTACAGCTTCCCTGCCAAGGGCAAGCTCTTCCTGCACCGTGTGGGTAAGGGCCAGAGCCCAAACCGGGCGCCGATTTGTGGAGGGAGCTGAGGGCGCAGGGCTCAACCCTGGCCACTACAGATGGGTAAACTGAGGCCCAGGGAAGGGAGCAGTAAACGGGGGCTCTGAGGGATGCAGTCCAGTCATGATGCTAACAGGCGGCCGCGTGGCTCTGATAAGGGTACTCTTCGTCTCCTTGTGGGTTCGCTGGGCCTGGGCTTTATCTGTCACTTTCCTGCCGTGGTCCTTGCCCATGTGGCCCCTTGGCCCCCTTCTTCCTGACAGTTCTCTCCCTGAAGCTGCTTCTCTTCTTAGTTGCTCCCTTAGGTACCTTTGCGACTTTTTAAATAACATTTAAAGTAGTGAAGGCCCCGGGGTGGCAATGTTTGTGCTTGACTACTAACCTGCAGGTTGTCAGTTTGAACTCACCCAGTGGCACCACGGAAGAAAGGCTTGGTGATTTGCTTCTGTAAAGATTAAGCCAAGAAAACCCTATGGAGCAGTTCTACTCTGTAATGCATGGAGTCGCTATGAGTCGGGATTGACTCGATGGCGTGGGTTTGGTTTCTTGTTTGGTTTATGGTCACAGTCTAAATAACCAGCCCCCTATTGGTAGGCCTTTAAGTCATTTCTGATCTGGGGCTCTTGCCGTCAGCACTGCAGTAAACATCCTTGTGTGTGAATCTTTGTATCCTCGATTAATCCTTTTGGGAAAATTCCCAGAAGTGGGGATGCTGAAGACTTTTGATAACGATTGGAGTAATGCCTTGAACGTAGTTTTGCCAACTTTCCCAGAGTGCTGTGTGACTGTCAGCCCCCTTCCCTTTCGTAGATGGAGCCAGTGGCTCAGCTAGGTGGGGGCCTCGCCCCTGCCCACACCCTCAGGGTTTAGCACATGGGACTCGTGGCTGCGGGTGGGGTCCTTCTTGCCCTTGATCATCTCTTCCCCGCAGGTCGTGTGGCCCGGGCCGGCCGAAGTGGCACAGCCTACTCCTTGGTGGCCCCAGATGAGGTCCCCTACCTTCTGGACCTGCACCTGTTCCTGGGCCGTGCCCTCACCCTCGCCCACCCCCATGAGGAGCCCTCAGGTGAGTGGAGTCGGGGGCAGGGGTGAAGCTTACCCCATCCTGGCTTGGGGAGGAGGTGGGGGTGGATTTGAACACAGGAGCCTCAATTTTGTCATCTCTAAAATGGGACCATCAGAGTGCCTGCCTTGCGAGACTGGCAAAATGTTGGTAGTTGGTACTCCATTCTTTTTGCCTTTGTGTATTATCCGTAATAAAAAGCTAAAACAGCGAAAGACCACACAAAAGCGAACAGCAGACACTTTCCTTATAGGTTTGAGAGAAGAAAGAGATAATGTATTTATTTAGCACAGTGCTTGGCACACAGTAAGTCTCGATAACTGGTCTCTCCTGCTGTTACTGTTGCTCTTATTGTTGGGAAACCCTGGTGGTGCAGTGGTTAAGTGCTACGGCTGCTAACCAAAAGGTTGGCAGTTCAAATCCACCAGGTGCTCCTTGGAAATCCTGTGGGGCAGTTCTTCTGTCCTATAGGAGCACTATGAGTCAGACTCAGTGGCACCACAGAAGAAAGGCTCGGGTTTCTTTTTGTTGAGCCTGCCGCTGCCACGGACTCATTCGACAATCCTAGGGAAGTAATTTAACCTCTGTGAGCCTCAATTTTCTCATCTGAAAAATGAGGTTGCTGTAGAGATTCAAGGATCTAATGTAGGAGCCTACACACTTTTTCTTACAGAGCTAGATAATAAATATTTTGGGTTTGGGGCAGCTGCTTATCTCTGCCGTTGTAGCATAAAAGCAGCTGTAGACGGCACATAAACAGAGGATTATTGCTGTGTTCCAGTAAAACTTTATTTACAAAAGCAGGCAGCTGGCCTGTGGGCTGTAGTTTGCTGACCCCTGGTCTGATGATGCTGGCCGTAGGAGCCACCTCACGAGTGATGATTTCTTTCGTGGTCATGACTTGGTGACTGTTTCCCTAAGAATCAGGGGCCAGGAGAGGGCTGGGGAGGGGAGGCAGGGCCATGGACGGGTGGGCCGGGCCGGACGGCCTCTGACGGGCACTGTGCGGGCAGCAGATGCAGCTGGTGTGGACGGCGTGCTGGGCCGGGTGCCGCAGAGTGTGGTGGACGACGAGGACTGCGGCCTGCAGAGCACGCTGGCAGCATCACTGGAGCTGCGGGGCCTGGGCCGCGTGGCCGACAATGCGCAGCAGCAGTATGTGCGCTCGAGGCCGGCACCCTCACCCGAGTCCATCAAGAGGGCCAAGGCGCTGGACCTCACGGGGCTGGGCCTGCATCCACTCTTCAGTGAGTCCCTGCGTGGGGTGGCAGGTGGGTGTCGAGGTGGAGGGCGAGCCCTGCAGAGCCAAGTCGCAGCCTCATGCCTCCTCCCCACCAGGCTCGAGCTTCGAGGAGCAGGAGCTGCAGCGGCTGCGGCTGGTGGACAGTATCAAGAAGTACCGCTCACGGGCGGTGAGTGAGGGGCCAGGTGGGACCACACGCTGGCTTGGAGCAGCCTGGGGGCACAATGGCAGCTATGGTGCCTGTACTCAGATGGCGCCCCTAACCTGGGCTGGGATCGTGGGATTAAGCTTCTTAATCTGCATCCTGGGCCTCATCAGTGTCTTTAGAGACGCCCCTTGTTCTGGAACCATCTCTGCTGGCTCCAGCAGGTCCCCATCTGGGAGCCATCCCCACCATTTACAGATGGGTAGACTGAGGTGCGCGGGCCAGAAAGGGCCCAAGGCCTGTAGAGGCCTGACAAGCTGGCTTCTAATTGCCTCTCCTCCCTTCCTCATCTTGTCCCCCCAACCCACGGCACCTGTCTTGTGCTTAAGGAAGGGTACACGAGCTAGATCATTGTCAGGCGTGGGGCTAGGGGTCGTCCTAGCTGTGTGACCTCAGGCAGGTTATCACCCTCTCTGAGCCCCCTTGTTGTAGGATGGGGGTGTTGAGGGTACCCGCCTCGTAGAGCTGAGAGGACTTGGGGATCTCAGTGTAGCATCTGGCACCTGGTAGGCACCCGCGGAGCTGGTGAGGGTGGGGCTGGGGTGGAGGAGGCCCGTGGGTGAAGGACTCGGGGGTCTCCCTGCAGACCATTTTTGAGATCAACGCCTCTAGCCGGGATGTGAGCAGCCAGGTGATGCGCGCCAAGCGGCAGAAGGATCACAAGGCCATCGCCAGCTTCCAGCAGGGGCGGCAGGAGCGGCAGGAGGGTCCGGCCAGCACTGCCCCGAGCACCCAGGCCCCCAGTGTCCCAGCCATGAGCGACCCGGCCCTGGTGAAGAACAAGCCCAGTGGGGAGGAAGAGGAGGCCAGAGAGAGCGTGGAGGTACAGGCCCTGCCCTGAGGACCCGGAGGCCAGCCCTGAGGTTGCGGGGTGGGGTTGTCTCAGTGCCTTGCCTGGTTACAGCTAGGGACTGGACTGGAAGCCGGGGCTCGCCCGGTCAGCCCTGTCCGTGCCTGTCTCATCTCTGCTGGTCCTGAGACAGGGGTTGTGCCTCATGTGCAGATGAGGAAACTGAGGCTCCAACAGGAGACCTGGCCTCCCAGCTGATAATGGCAAGGCCAGGCTTTAATGTCCCAGGAGGCCTTGCCCCTGGCTGGCCCCTCGACTTGGCCTGGGCTGGTGGGTGGGGAGGCAGGAGGGCGCCTGGGGCTGCAGGCATGACACTGGGCCTTGGTGGTCAGGATGTCTTCACAGAGATTGTGGGCCAGAAGCGGCGGCGGCTTGGCCCCGACAGGGGAGTCAAGAGGCAGCGGGCAGAGGCCCGGCAGCAGGAACGGGACTTCTACGTGCCCTACCGGCCCAAGGACTTCGACAGCGAGCGTGGGTGAGTGGGGTTGGGTACCAGGGCTGGGTGGGGGGCTAGGAGAGGCCCTCATCTCCTCGTCATGCCTTCCCACCCTTCTGCAGCCTGAGCGTTGGGGACAGTGGGGCCTTTGAGCAGCAGGTGGCCGGGGCTGTCCTGGACCTGATGGGGGATGAAGCCCAGAACCTGACCCGCGGCCAGCAGCAGCTCAAATGGTGAGTGAGCTGGGGCATCAACTCCCCCTGGTGATACCACCCCCCGACTAGGACCCCCATCCCACCCCAGAGCAGGCCCTGTGAGATCACACACAGCAGGAACGTCGCCCCACCCAGCCTGTCCCTGTGAGACAGGGAGGATCCCTGTGCTGTCTGCACTTTTTTGCCGACTGGTGTTTATAGACAGGGCCTACAGCCCATTTTGCCCAAGAGGACTTGGCAGCGCAGATTAGTGATGGGACTCATTTGAGGGGTCAGAGAAGTAGCAGAGCAGGGATCAGAAGCCCCTACCCCTGACACAGGACCCCCAGCTGGTGCCAGTACCCTGTCCCCACACTGGAAGAGTGGAGAGAGGCAAGGAACAGGCCTTTATTGAGCAACTATTACATGCCAGCCCAGCCTTCATTTAACCCAGCCATCCAGGGAGTGGGGGTAGTGAGGACATAGGTCGCTCAGGCCCCTCTACTGCAGCCCCCCTGATTGCTCTCCCGCAGGGACCGGAAGAAGAAGAGGTTCGTGGGGCAGTCTGGACAGGAGGACAAGAAAAAGATCAAGACCGAGAGTGGGCGCTACATTAGCAGTTCCTACAAGCAGGACCTATATCCTCGTGGTCCATGGTCCGGGGAGGGGTGGGGTGGGGGTGCGGGAGCAGGGGAGGCAGAGGAGGGACCTGGCTGGGCTGGGAGGAGCCTGGCTGGGTGGGGCCTGCTTCCAGCCCAGGGCACAAGATCCCACAGGTAGCCTCCTTAGCGCATCTCCCAGCTACCAGAAGTGGAAGCAGAAACAGAAGATTGATGATCGGGACTCGGAGGAGGAGGGGCCATCTGAGCGGCGAGGCCCTGAGCGAAGAGGTGGGAAGTGGGGCCGTGGCCGAGGTAAGAGCAGGGTGGGGACTTGGGTGGGCAGGGCAGGGTGGACAGGTTGATGAGGAAATTGAGGCATAGAATTGCTAATGGCTCACACCCCAGAGTGTCTGATGGTGTAGGGCGCATCCCCGTGTATGTGGGTTAACTTCATTTCCCGTCCACACATACCTAGACCCCACCCACATCCCCACAGGCATCCCTCCCCGTCCCTAGGTGACATGGGCAGAGTTGTCTGGGGCCCAGGCATCCCTCAGCCTCAAGTCAGTTCCCTGTCCGGGGGTCCTCCCCTCTGCCTCCTTGTGTGCGGCTCCGTCTGTCCTCCTGTCTTTGATTTTCTGTCCCTTCCTCTCTCCAGGTCTCTCTGGGATCTGCCTCTCTCTCTTTCTGGCTGTTTCTTTTCATCTTTCTCTCTCATTGTGCCTATTTCTCTCTCACTGTCTCTCTTCTTCCGTGTGCCTGTTTCTCTTTGTGCCTCTCTGTGTCCTGTTGTGTGTGTCTGTCCCTCTCTCCTCTCTGGGTGGGCCCTGCCTCTCCCAGGCCCTCGCACTCGGCAGTCCTGGTCTCACCTGGGTGGGGCACACTGCACTGTGAACAGTGAGGGTGGTCTCAGATGAGGGGGCTGTGGGCAGTGCGTGCAGTGAGGGTGGTCCCAGGAGGTGAGGGGGCTGTGGGCAGTGAGTGTGCAGTGAGGGTCGTCCCGGGAGGTGAGGGGGCTGTGGGCAGTGAGTGTGCAGTGAGGGTCGTCCCGGGAGGTGAGGGGGCTGTGGGCAGTGCGTGCAGTGAGGGTGGTCCTGGGAGGTGAGGGGGCTGTGGACAGTGAGGGTGGTCCCGGGAGGTGAGGGGGCTGTGGGCAGTGAGGGTGGTCCCGGGAAGTGAGGGGGCTTCGTTGGGGAGACCAGCTGCTGCTCCTGTACCCGTTCTCCCTGGTAGTGTTTGTCGCTGTTGGGCAGTGAGTACGCTGAGGCCCAGGGGACACATCTGGGGCCACCTTAGTGATCATCTCTCTGGGAGCCCCAGAAAGGTCACTGTTGTGGGGAGGGGCCTGGCTAGGAGTGGAAAAGGAAAAAGCAGGGCTTAGTAGGGTGGCAGGGAGGCAGGTGGTAACTGCCCTCCCACAAGCTGGAAGAACAGGCTTACTTGGCACCCGCCTGGCTGGCTGGGCCAGGGCCGCTGACCTCATCACTGCCACTGTGCTGTGTGACCTTGGGCCAGGCCCTGCCCCTCTCTGGCCTTCTGTGATCTCTCTCCTGCCAAAGGGATGGTTAAGCGACAGCCTTTTTTCATCTAACAGGCCTAGAGCATGTAGTCCACAGAGACACTCACTGACTGTGGGATTCCCAGTGCCCAAAACAATCCCTGGCACATAGTAGATACTCAAGAAACCTTTCTTAGATGATTAAGAATAGGAGGAAGGAGCCCTGGTGGTACAGTGGTTAAGCACTTGGCTGCTAACTGAAAGGTTGCCAGTTCAGACTCACCAGCTGAAGCTGATGTGGCCGTCTGCTTCCGTAAAGGTGACAGCCTTGGAAACCCAATGGGCAGTTCTGTTCTGTCCCAGAGGGTCGCTAGGCAGCGGAATCTACTGGACGGCACCAGGTTTACACTTAGGAGGCACTGACTATGGACCAGGCCCTGTTCTGAGCGCTTCACATATATTAGCTTGTTCACACCTCATTAGGACCTCCTGAAGTAAATCCTGTTATTCCCAATTCACAGATAGGGAAAGGGAGGTCCAGAGAGTTAAGTAATTTGCTCAGGGTTCAAGAGGTCACAGGTGGGATTGGAACCTGAGCAGAGCTAGCTCGAGATTCCGCACTGTTGGGTGCTACACTAGATTGCCTAGCGTTTATTAAGTACCTACTGTGTGCTGGACACAAGGGCCACAGCAATGCACGTGGGGGTGGGGAAGCAGCCCAAGGAGCTTCTGGGAGGATGAGACATGGGGAGTCGACCCCAAGGCTCAGCTCACGGGATCCCTGTCCCTCCCACAGGTGCGTCCCAGCCCTGCACCCCGGGCCCCGCCGCAGGCCGTGTGCACTCTGAGCTCAAGACCAAGCAGCAGATCCTGAAGCAGCGGCGCCGGGCCCAGAAGATGCGCTTCCTGCAGCGTGGGGGCCTCAAGCGGCTCTCGGCCCGCAACCGCCACCGGGTCCAGGTGCTGCAGCAGGGTGCCTTTGGCCGGGGCACCCACTCCAAGAAGGGCAAGATGAGGAAGAGGATGTAAGGACTGGGACCTGGCCCTGAGGCCCTCATTCGGCTCAAGGTGGACTTCGGGAAACACTTCCTGAGCTTCTACTGCATGCCTGGCCCTGCGCTGGGCAGTGGGGGTGGGGGCTGCCTGAGGAGTCCTTGTCCACAGCAAGAAGTGCTGCAGGACCATTTCAGCAGGGTCTTGAAGGATGCCTAGGAGTTTGCCAGCAAAGCCAGGCAGGCCAAGCCCTGAGTTGGCAACTTGACTGCTGCTGCTTCCATGTGTGCTAGGTTCCAAGCCATGGCCACATGGTCTTATCCCTGAGTGCCTGAGCCCCAGGGATGTTTTTTAAATGTAATAAACCTTTATTGAGCACCCCTGGTGGACCAGAGTGCCCTGTCTACTCGGGGAGTTGGAACAGGGAGATACAGATACTAAAATTCCAGCTGAGGTTGTGGCAGGTAGTTGCAGAAGTGTGAACACACCCAGAGTGATCCCACCTGACCTCCCACAGCCTCCTGGGGTGGGCTCTGTTGGTGTCCCCATTTTGCAGATGAGTAAACTGAGGCTGAGAGGCTGAGGTGGTTGCCTCAGTGGGAGAGCCTGAAGCTGGTGGTCCCACTGCTTCCTGGGGACAGGCTGCAGCTGGGAGGACTGTAGGAGGGGGCAGCGTCTGGGGTCAGAGGGCACAGCGGCTCCTCTCTGGCCAGCCTCTGGCTGTGAAGGGGTTAACACTGCCCACCACACCCCGAGGTCAGAACCAGCCCTGCCCTCTCTCCTTCTGGCCTCCAGCTTGCTCCGAGTCCTCTCCTCCTATTTGGGGTCCTGGGAAGGTCAAGGGCAGCCTCTAGCGGCTGGATTTTCAGCACGGGGGCCCTGAGTCCACAGCGGAGGGGCCTTATGGGCTGGCACCATCCTAATGAATTTCCACACACCCTGACATGTGACCCTCCTGCTGGTCCTGAAAAAACCCCATTGCTGTCCAGTCGATTCCGACTCATAGCGACCCTATGGGACAAAGCAGAACTGCCCCACAGGGTTTCCAAGGAGTGGCCGGTGGATTCGAACTGCCAACATTTTGGTTAGCAGCCAAGCTCTTAACCACTGCGCTACCAGGGCTCCCCTGCTGGTCCTACTTATTTTAATTTGCCATGTGCCAGGTTCCATGCACCCAACAAATAACTAACTTGTTTAATCCCCCCAACTGTTCTGGGAGGGAGGGTATGGTTGGTCCCGACCCTGGTTTACAGGTGAGGCACAAGTAAGTCCTTGGTGCCAGGTCACGTGGTGGATTACGGGCCTGTAGGGACTGGCGCCCCACACGTACCCCTCATCATCACCATCACCGTGGGCCATGTTTATCAAGTACTTGCTGTGTGCCGGGGTCGTTTAAGCCCCACAACAACATGAGCAGGCTTAGCCTTCGCCCACCTCTCTGGTGAGGAAACAGCCCACACCCCACAGGAAATATGGGAACTCCTTTCCAGGGCCAGGTCCCCCATGGGGCCCTCTTCCCCACTGCTCACCTGGGTCAAGGTTCGGCCTTACGGAGGCTGGCCAGAATGCTGGAGAGGTCTTGGAAGAACTGCTTTACCTGGGGGACCCCGACAACAGCCAGAGTCACATCCCTGCGTCGCTGTCCAGTCCCCACCCCCTGGGAGTTGGACAAGCAGGGTTGGGAGGCTGGAGACCTGTTAAAGGACCAGCAGTGCAGTTCCCAGAGGCAGCGGTGAGGTCCTAGCCTGTATTCTGGGTTTTTAAAGCCTCTGGCCAAGCCTCCCAGATGGCCCTCGTTAGCAGACGTCTTGCAGGCTTTCTAGCTGACTCGCCTGTTCTAAGATGAATCTCATTTATATCAGTTCACTTTTTTTCCTTTTAATTAACTCACTCATGTTTGTTAGTTTATGACCTATCATCTTCTCTATGTCGGCCCTCTTTTGCTTTAATTAGCTTATTTATATGAGTTTAATGAACACCCTTAGACCCACTGCCAGGAACAAGGACTTGATGGGTAATTTACAACTATCTGTATGTTCCCCCTTCCCCAGTGTATCTGTTACTTAAATAACCATCTGAGAAGGAAATTGTCTCCACCAAAAATGGGAACAATAAAGATACACGTTTTCCTAAATAGGGGAGAACTGGAAAAATAATGCAATGAAAATGCAATTCAGCTGAATTCTAGCCAGCTGCTGCTCCCTGCTGGAAGGTGTGAGGCCCAGGTCTGGAGATGGAGTATTTCACGGTGACTAAAGGCATAGCTGGAGCCCTGGTGGCACAGTGGTTAAGAGCTATGATTGTCAATCAAAAGGTTGGCAGTTCAAATCCACCAGCTGCTCCTTGGAGACCCTATGGGGCAGTTCTACCCTGTCCTACAGGGTTGCTATGAGTTGGGAATTGACTGCAATGGGTTTGTTTTTTTTTTTTTAAAGGCATAGTCAAGAAGCCCTGGTGGTGTAACAGTTAAGCACTCGGCTGCTAGCCAAAGGTCAGCAGTTCAAACCCACCAGCCGCTCTGTGGGAGAAAGATGTGACAGTCTGCTTCTGTAAAGATAATAGCCTTGAAAACCCTAGGGGGCATAGACCTATAGGATCTCTATGGGTCAGAACGGATGGCACAACAATAGCAACAACAACAAAGGCATAGTTGACCATCTGTTAGTTGGTCGTACTGTGCTTATCGTGTGTTGCTGTGATGTTGGAAGATATGGCACCAGCATTTCAAATAGCAGGGTGGTCAGGTTTCAGCAGACCTTCCAGACTAAGACAGACTAGGAAGAAAGGGCTGCAATCTACTTCCAAAAATCAGCCAATGGAAACCCTATAGATCATAATGCAACATTGTCCAACTCAATTGCTTTGGACATGTCATGCAAGGAGTGAAAGCGTCGGGTTATTCAAAGTAAGTCTCTTAGTTTCTTACCAATGCTGCCACTGTTTGAGCTGTTGGATCCTGGGAGGAAAGAGGGGCTCATGGCATAACGTATGGGGAGGAAAGAGGGGCTCATGGCATAACGTATGGGATCCATCAGTACCTGCCCTGCACTAGGGAGAGCACCGAGACCCGGGGGGCACTTCACCTTCCTTCAGGTAGCAGAGTCACCGTCAAAATCAAGACTGGAACCCAGGACTCCCAGGTAGAGTGCCCCCAGGCCGCGGTGGCGCGCCCATATGTGGGACTGGAGGCGCTGGCCTCTGACCACAGAAGGTGCCACTCATGGTGGGATTTCTGGCATCGTGATGCTCCTGAGGAGGAAGGTAACAGAGAGGGGCCCTCACCTGCTCCAGCTGCCCCTCAGTGTCCTCAAGGTGCAGGGTGGGCGGCTGCCTCTGATGCTGGCACACTACTTGGAACAGGTTGAGCGCTGCCATCCTCGTCCGTCCCAGGAGCAGGGTCCTCTCCGCTGCTGTGTTCTGGATCTGAATCCACTTGGATTCCTGGTAGATAGCCCCCGACCCTTCTGAGGATCGAACTCGCGGCAAGAGGGCTGAAGCCTCATCCGCATCCACTTCTGGCCCAGTCAGATGCAGACGTGTGCTCAGGTTCTGAGAGGACCGGCCTCCGGTGCCCTACAGTGCTTTCCGATGCCTGAAATCCCCCCGTTAGTGCTGCTGCCCTCCGGGGTAAGCAATGCCCCTCCGTTCTCATCACCCCTAGCACTCCCTCGCGGTGTGAGGCTGGGGGTGCGGGAGCCCGCCGTCCCCTGGCGGCCGTACCCAGTGAAGTGTGCGCTCGCGGGCCTCTTCCAGGCGCTCCTGCAGCTGCGCGCGCCGCTGGCCTTGCTGAAGGACCTCCTCCTGCCAAGTGTCCTGCAGCCGCTGCAGCCGCGCCCGCGCCGCCTCCAGCTCCGCCAGCCGCTCGCGCTCCGTGCGCCTCAGCGCCGCCTGCGTGTCGGCCAGGTCGTCGAAGCGCGCCACCAGCTCGGGGACCTCCTGGAACTGGGGTGGTGGAGCTCGGAGGGGAAATCACACTGGGCAGTAGCACTCTGCCCTCCTCATCTCACTTGGCCCACTCTGCTCCTCCCAGCACCTCCTCAGTTAGCTCAACTGTAAAATGGAGGCATCGCAGGGCCCCTGCCCCGGAAGTGGTATTACAGGAGCCAGAGGGTCTGAGATGAGAGCCCTACCCTTCCCGACCAATCGAGACCAATTAAGCTTCACCACTTGTGGTTAATATTCATCCTTGATTTGTTCAACTAATATTTATCAGATGGCTGGGTGCAGCCCTCCCCACCTGCCTGCCTGTGTGACCTTGGGTAAGAGTTAGCTTTCTGCGCCTCAGTTTCCCCATTTGTAACATGGGATTGACAATAATAGGACCCACTCACTTCGTTGGGCTGTGGGAGAGGAGTCAAAGAGAGCAAAGCATGTCCCTGGCATACAGTTAGGGCTCAGTAAGCGGTGGGGCCTGCCATACATATAGTCAACGCTCCAGTAGTGTGCCCGCCCAAAGCCGTCCCCAAGGCCACCTGGCGCTGCACGGTGGCGCTGAGTTCCAACGCCTGCTGCCCAGGGCTCACCTCAGGCAGCTGCTCCAGCACTTGTTCCAGCAGGCGCGCGCAGGGCGCCAGGCGCTCCAGCCGGCGCTGCAGCCGCGCGCGCTCCCGCCGCAGCTCCTCCAGCTGGGCCCACAGCCGCCGCGCTTCGGCCTCCTGGCGGCGGGCGCGGTGCCGCTCCTCCGCGGCCCTGCACAACGCGCGGCTGCGCCGGGCCTCTGCTTCCTGGCATAGGGGCCAGAGGCGGCGAGCCTCAGGATCCGGAGTTTAGGAAGCTTGCCGCCTTCACGCCTCCCCGACACTGGCACCCGTTGCCATGGGTGGCAAACAGACAGCCTGCGGGCCACATTCAGCCAGGGCCTCTGATTTGGCTCCTTCACGCCTCCCCCTTTTTTAAGTGCTGCAAACTGTTAGTGCAAACTTCGTACCACTCCCTTTTGTATTACTAAGCCCACTTCTTTTATGTGACCTGTCTGGCCCTTAATAGGGTTTTGACTTTGTGACCCTTTTGATCCCCCCCCATCAGTCTCTACCTACCTGCAAGAACTTGCCAAAGCGCAAAAAGGACCCCTTTAGCTCCTGCTCCTTCTGTTCCAGCTGTTCCCAGCGCAGCTGTAGGGCTGCCATCGTGGTCTGGAACACCTGGGTGTGAGAAGAGGGGTGTCTGTTTGGAGGCTCAAGTTTGGAGGTTTAGGTTCACACTTAACCCCTCCCCTCTATTATCCCTGATTTTGTCGCTGCCCACCTGCTCAGACCTATCCATGCCCATCGCCCTCAGGATGAAGTCCAAGCACCCTCCTGCAGCCCCTGCTGCCAGGGTCCCTGCCCTTTGGGGCTCAGCTTACCCTTTCTCCTCTGATGCTGTCAAGCACTTGACCACTTTGCTTTGTCTTCACCTTCCAGACTTTGCACATGATGTTCCCTCTGTCTGTTTCTTCCTCCTCATCCTGTCCCACTTTGCTAGATAAGCTGATTTACCCTTCAGCAATTGGTAAGACATCACTTCCTCCAGGAAGCCCTCCTTGACTACTCCCATGTGGAGTTAGGGGCTTCCTCTGGGCTCCCACAGTTCCTGCCCAGTGCTTCCCCCATCATAGCAGTCACCACCAAGACGCTTGTCTGTCTCCCTCTCTAGACTATGATCCCTGTGAGGACAGCACTGTGGTGAGAACTCCAGAGCCCAGTAGGTGCTCACTGCATGCTTATTTGTATCAGTGACTGGTCTCACTTGATCTTTATTTCACAGATGAGGAAACCAAGGTTCAGAGTGCTAGTAGTTAGTAAGCTGGCTCTATCACTTCCCATTCCCCTTCTCACTGCCCAGTCCCCCACTCCCATTTTTTGTCTGGTTTCCCAAAGAATCTCAGGGAAAAGCAGTTCACCTCCTTCTGGGCCCGCAGGCCCTGGTCTGCAGCCGCCAGCTCCTGCCTCTTCTCCAGGAGCTGTAGCACTGGGGGGAAGTGGTGTGAATTCTGCTCTGGTATCTTCCTACAGAGGGGTGAGGAGGAGGTGGAGGTGAAAAGGCAGGAGTGGCTCAAAGACCCCACAGCGAGTGGGGGCAAAAGTCTTCAGACTAATTCCTTCCCAGCTTCATGTGAATGATTTCACCTCAGCTGAAAGTCACCTGGGTTGGGGTCAGGAGCAGGTTAGAGACCTGGGCTATTGTCCCAGCTCTGCACCTAACTTCCCTGAGAAAGCCTAGGGTTCCCCTCTGACCCTCAGTTTCTTCTTTGTGAAGTGGGGCAATAGTCTTCCATGAATTGTCCAAGGAAGCCAGAGGACTCAGGGGAGGGGACTAGGGGCTGGGCCACCCCACCCACTCCTGACCTTTCTCCAGATCTCTCGACCCCTTGCAGGCCACTCACCTCGGCAGCTTCTCTTGTAAGGCCAGTTGAAAATATTCCTCCCAGGGCACCGCCATACTTCCGTCTTTCTTTCTTCTGGCTGGGGTTTTGCACACGCTTAGGAGGGCCTGGGGGGCTCTGATGGAGGGAGGAGTAGCAGCTTGCTCAGTCCTCCCAGAAGGCAGCACCCAGCCCTGGTTGCCCGGGCAACCAGCGATACAACATTCCATTTCCTGGCTGAGGCCTGAGGAATCCACCCAGGAAGGAAAGGGAGAGGACCGTGGGGAGGGGAGCAGCCTCCGCCCCTCTGGGGGAAGCCTTAGATTCTGGATCTGAATTGGGGTGCAATTCAGACAGGGGTCTCTTGGCTAAGAATTTGCCTTGAGAGGTGCCCCAAGTATGGTCCAGCCCTGGGCTGTCACTCCCTGGAAAGGTGCTGAGGGTCTACTGCATTCCATCCAGCCCTTTGAGGTCCACACCCTGAGCTGGTGATGAGCTAACCTGCCCATGTCTCATGGGGTCCCCAGTCTGGGTAGGGCAGATAGAGGAGGGCCCTCAGTACCACCTAATGGAGATTGGCATGGAAGGGACAGGTGATCTGGACTTGGAGGTGGGGGCTACGTGCATGGGGAAGATGGGAGCGAAAGAGCTGACATAGTATCTAATTTAATCCTCGAAACAGCCCTGAAAGGGGTGGTACTAGGGAAAAACACTCAGAATAGTATAGCAAATACCTGTTGGTCTTCCGCCTGGAAAGGAACTCAAAACCAAACCTGTTGCCATCAAGTTGATTCTGACTCATAGCGACCCTGTAGGACAGAGTAGAACTGCCCTATAGGTTTCCAAGGCTGTGATCTTTACAGAAGCAGACTGCCACATCTTTCTCCCACGGAGTGGCTGGTGGGTTCGAACTGCCGACCTTTCAGTTAGCGCCGAACCCTTAACTACTGCGCCACCAGGGCTCCTTGGAAGGGAACAGCATGTGCAAAGGCCCAGAGGCAGGAAGGTGTGCCCCCCCCCCCTTGTTAGAAGGGAACAAAGGCCTGTAGGCAGGTGTGCAGAATTCTAGGACGATGGGGCAGGTCAGGGCTGGATGGGGCCAAGAAGGGGCCAGATTTGTGCTACAAGTGGCAGGCGAGGAAACTGAGGCCCAGTGGAGTTAAGTGGCTTCCCAGAGGATACCGGCTGAGAAGTGGTGGGGCCTGGTGTTTGTCTACCGCGCAGGCCTTGAGTACTGAGAATACTTGGAAGCTCGTGGCTTAGGGGAGAGGAAAAAGTCCCCACACTTGTCTTGAGAAGGCTAAAACTGTGGTTTCAGCTTTGCCATCAGCCAATCTACCCTCTCAGCCCTCAGTATTCCTCTCTGTTAAATGGGCTGTTGCCCCTTTATGGGCTCTGTCCTCCTGGGCTCCCTGCTGCCAGCTCAGCATCCTGACAGTCTCAGTCCCCACCTCCTGGGGGTGGGTTGGACTAGCTGCAGAGTGACAGCAGGACATGACTTCTCAGCTGGCCTTGCCCTTGGCCGCAAACCCACAGGCTCTGGAAATATCCACTGTCTCCACCCCTGTGTCTCACGCTTCAGTGGCTTCCCCCTTCCTACTTTTCCGTTCCAAGGAGCTGGTGAGGTGACCATCTGGGGGAGTAGGGCTGAGGAAGGAGGAAGCAGGAGTGTGGACTGACAGACAGACACTTGGTTTCCCAGCCGTGGGAGGAGGGAGGGGACTTAGAAGGCCCTGTTCCTCGGCAGCCAGCTTGCAGGAGGCGCTTTTGGAAATCCTGCTCGTTCCTCCCACTGCTGCCTCCTGTCCCACATGGCTCCCTGCCCAGAATCTTGCCTGCCCAGCATCACAAATGGAGCTTTGTGTTCCCAAGACAAAGAACAACTCCTCACCCCAACCTGGCCGGATCTTGGCTCAGAAGGGATCGTGCCCATTTCCCAAGAGGGGAAACTGAGGTCTAGAGATGGGCAGGTCTGTGGCACCAGAGGATGGGGTTAGAACTCCTGGTTTTGGGAGGTGAGTTGGCATAATTTGAGTCCTCATCCTAGGCACTGTTAGGGGAGAGGAAGGAAAGACGATGGCCTATTATGACAACGAGAGAGGCCAGCTTCCAGCTCTTGAAGGGAACTGAATTCTCTTTAACCCAGCAAGTGTGTTTTGAGTTTTACTTATGTGCCAAGCGGTGGGAGGCTTGGAATGAATCAGATATTGTCCCTGACATTTAGGAGATAAGATGACCATATAAATCACCATAAAACAAGGGAAGAAGACAGGTCACAGAGAGGGCCAATAGGGTGTGCGGGAGTGGGGAGGGGGGAAGGGGACAGTTGTCCATGTCTTCCCAGCACCTTGCTGAGGACTTCTCCAACGCCATGAGCAGAGCTAGTGGCGTTGCTGAACGCAGAGTTCAGAGGACCTGTGCCAATCGGCGTTCACAAGCTGGTAGGAGCAGGCTTCAGTACTCACTGCCCGTGCCCCCAGACCCAATCACCCCTCTCGGGTAAGGAGCCTTCTCTACTCCGAGTCTGTAAGCCCTGCCTGGGCCCCAGGCCAGCATCTCAGAGGAAGGGGGCCTTGGCCAGTCTCTGTGCCAGGAACGATGCCAGGTGCCTCAAACTGCTCTCTTGATTCATGGTCGAGACACCCCCTGTGAGAACAGTGAGACCCTTCCCACAGGGTACTCATGGTGCACCTTGTCCCTCTCCTGGGTGGATGGCCCCAGCAGGCTACACCGCTCTCTGGGCGGCTCTTGCCTCTCCTATCCCTCACTGGGGGGCTGACTTAAAAGACCTCAACCCCTTGCAGGTTTCAGGTCAATGCTTCTCAGACCAACAGGAAGTGGCCCGGCCATGCGTAAAATATGGGGAGTGTGGCCACAGCCCCAGGCAAACTGTGGGGTCAGACACCGGATATTTGACAGGTGACAGAGCTGGCTCCCTGGAGGTTGGGCTGGCAGAGTCGATAGCCTTGGTAATTCCTCCTGGGGAGGGGTGTTTGGGAATGTGACTTCCTGCTCAGTTCCTGAGACGCCTTGAGACAGCTGGTGGCCGTTTGGTTGGCATCCCAGGGGATCCCACAACTAGGCCCCCAGGTTCCACCAGGGGCCCTGGGGGTAGGGTGGAGCTGAATGGTTTGCCTGAGGCCTCTGCAAGCTCCCTGGAGAAAAAGGTTCAGCCAGCAACCCCCACCCAGGTTGGAGGAGGGTGCCAGACACCTGTCTTGAAGCCACAGCTACATAGCAAGTACCATTTTCCCTTTAGGTTGTACATTTACTTCGGGGAGGATCTAGGGCAACAGATAAAGATTACTGGGGTAGGGGGAAGGGGGAAGGTTTTAACTACCAGTTGAGGCCACCACTGTTCTGGATCCACCACTGGATAAGCCCTCATTCCCCACTGAAAGATGTCACAGTACTTCAAAACTTTGGGGCCTGCCCTGCTAGACCCATTTCCCAGACGGGGAAACAGAGGCCCAGGTCTCTCTGGGTCACAGGACACACCAGGCAGCGGTGAGCAAGGGAGAGAGTTTCCAGTTTCTGAATTCCTTACCAGGCTGGTGGGTGCATTGGGTGATGGGCCAAGGAGGGAGACTGGAAACAGGAGTTCGACCCTCTCTCAGAGGCTGAGCAGGGCATGTCTGGTCCTGCCGGTCTGGGTGTAGCCTCCTTCACTCATTTGGCAGGCGCCTTCCTGTTGGTGCCCAGCCCTGGGCTGACCCGATAGAGTCGGGCTCATTTCTAATCCTTCTAAGAGCTTTCAGGCAGGTAAACAACAAACCCATAGGTAGAAATAAGTGTGTGCAAGTGTCTGCCCTGGGACAGGCCCTCCCAGTCACATAATCTCATCTAAAACTTGGAAAATGTACCCACCTAGAGCTGTGGGAGTGGAGCAAAGGGAGGAAAACCATCTGTCCAGGGTGGGAGACATCCCGGAAGGCTTCCCAGAAGAGATGACATTTGAGCCATGCCAGGAAGGACAAGAATATCAAACACTTTCTGGTGCCTGTCACTTTTCTGAGACCTTAATTTGCATTACCTCAATTCTCTCTAAAGCCGGTGACGGAACAGCTATATGATCCCCATGGGACAAGTGAGAAAACCAAACAGAGACCCAGGGAGGTGAGGTGACTTGTCCAAGACCACACAGATACCAAGTGGTGGGAAGGCTTCAAACCCAGGAAGTCAAACGAATTACTAGCTGTGAGACCTGGCAAGTTATTTACCATCTCCAGAACCTCAGTTTCTCTCTCCATAAAATGGGGGTAACAGTACTTAGCCCATAGGGTTATGGTGAGGATGAAAATGAGATAACTGTGGTAAAGCGCTTAAAACAGAGCCTGGCACACAGTGTTCAAACAATTGTCAATGACTTGACGACTTCTATCATCGCTGTCGTGGCTGTTATCTTCAAGCCTCCCCTCCCCCTCCGGCCGCGGCTTCCTCCCCCGCAGAGCCAGCCCGTGACGCTGGAGCAGCCGCTTGCACAGTCTGGGTTTACTTGGAAACTAAAAGGCAAGGGAAGGGGGTGTTCGCGGCCCCTCCCTTGACTCGGAACGGACTCCAGGGAACGTGCGATTCTCTCTCTATAGCGACGTCTCCCGTCACCCGCTGAGACTGCTCCGGGACAGGGCGCGCAGGTCCGACCCGGGAGGCGGCGCGGGATGGTAGGCAGGAGAGGGCACGGGAGATGTGAAGGGGTCGCGGGGTAGGGGTGCAGGCAGGAGACAGACTGCCCTCTGAGCCCAATTCCGACGCTCCAGGAGCCAGTCGCCACACCCTTGATAACCACGAGCCCCTTCCCACCTCGCGGTCCCAGCCTCCCGCGCCTGTGGCTCCGTAGTGGGTGCGCTCGGACGCGCTGGGCTGGGGTGCCGGCAGAGGGCGCGCTAGGGGGCCCGGGGGTGGGCGGGGGACCCCACGGGAGGCGGGATTGAGAGAAGGGCCCTGGCTGCCCCCTCCCGCCCGCCCGCCAGGAGCTCCAGACGTAGAGGCAAGAGCCGGCGGCGCCCCCCGCACGCTTTGTCTGCTCTGCGCCCCGCTCCTACCTGTAGAGTCGTGGCGGGCGCCCCTTCCCCGGGCACCTGTCCCTTTCCCGCCTTCGGAAACCTCCCGCCCACCTACCCGCGTCTCGGACGGGTGGCGCTGGGACTCCGGGGCAGGGCGCCAGGGTCGCAGCTGGTGACATGTAGACGCCCCCGGGTCCAGCCTCGGAACCTGGGGGCCCTGCTGCCTGGAAAGTTTGGGGCTGGGCGCCATGGCCAAGAGCAGCTCCCTGAATGTCCGCGTGGTGGAGGGCCGCGCGCTGCCCGCCAAGGACGTGTGAGTACCCTGAGGCGCGCCGGGGGTGAGGGGCGCGCCGGGCATGGAGTGGGGTGGGTGGCCTTTCCGCGGGCCCAGACGGGGCGGTGAGGAGAGGTGGAGGAGGTTGGATCCTGTCTAAGCCCGGGTATTGGGGCAGGTCTGCGTGTGCCGGGCCCTAGCCCCAGGCCCATCGTTGTCTTGAGGGAGGGGGCAGATACTCCCCCACCCCTCCCGGGAAGAGAGTGGGGGTGGGGGAGTCTTTGCTCTTGGGATGTATTGAAAGGCGTCTTCCAGGGTTGAAGAGGGGATCAGACGGTCGATTCTGTCAGAGCTGGGGAGGGGGTGAAGGGGGACTTGCCTTAGTCCAGACAGATGTTGGAGATGGGGCTTCCCCAGGGCTGAGTGTGGGCTTATCAAGTGAACCCTGGGGAGAGGCCCCGGAGGGCCGGGAGCCAGGCGGGCCCCAGTATTCCTCTGTGTGCCTCTGGTGTTTCTGCTTGTGGAATGTCACCAGGTGGCTGGCCAGCCAGGCCTGCTGGAGCCTGGAGTCCTTTTGACCCAGAGGCTGAACCCTCAGTATGGGGTCTCCCAGCTGGGTGGGAGCTGTCACTGGATGCTAAACTGCTGGCGATCCAACTCCCCGTTGCAGCCCCTCCTTAGACGGGCATGATGGGGTTGGGGGGACCCTGGGCTCCCCTCAAAATGGCCCCTGGCTATGATTCCCCCAGCGCTGAATCAGCAGTTGCCGAATCAGCAGAATGGTGGTGGTGGTGGGGGCATCCCTTCTTGCTTGGCCTGGAGCCCAGAAGGGGCTCTGCGGCTGTCAGCACCTGGGTCAGGTGTGGGATCCTCGGCGGGATATTGATTGTGTGACTTTGGACCTGTTTCTCTCTGGGCTTCGGTTTCCCATCTGCACAATGGGAGCTCTGGGCTGGAGTCTCCAAGCTCCCTCCAGCTGTGAGGCTGGGGGTCCTGTTAGGATTTACCCTGTGGCCACGGTGAGCAGGAGCATGGATTTGGAGCCTTTGCCTAGGTTGGAGTGGGGCTTGGCCAAGCCCTGACCCCAGGCAGGCCCTGCTGGCTCCCAGCCAGGCGTGTCCTGCCTCTGGTTTCATGAACCCCCCCAACACTGCAGCTGTGTCAACGGTGGCTGCTTCGAGCAGTTTTAGCCCCCCATCCTCATCAGCCACCCCAGATAAACACGCACCTGAAATGGCAGCAGAGCTTGCTGTGAGAACGTAGCACCTGGAGAAGCCCCCTACTACCCTCTTTCTGAGATGTCCCCTTACAGCCCCCCAAAATCAGAGTCCCTGGGACTCTCAGGACAGTGAGGCTGGGGTGGGGCCTAAGGGGGTCCTTTCTAGAAACTGAGCTCCCATCTCACTGTGCTGGGCCAGGGGCCATGACGACTGGCTGTTGCGGCCCGGGCCGGATTCTGGCTTCTGGGGGGGTCTCTTGACCTTGGCCTGAGGGAGGAATTGAGTCATGCCTGGTTTCTGCACCTCTTGCCTTCCCTCTGCACTTACCCCCTGCCTAGTTCCTGGGCCAACGTGAGCTCTGAGGCGGCCCTAGCGCCAGAGCAAGGTGGGGAAGGGGCCGCTAAGCCCCAGTTGGGGTTCTGGCCACCTGCCTCGGTCTCCCAAGCTGTTGGTTTCTGTCTTCAAAGGGTTCTCCTCGGAGCATGCTGGGATCTCCAGGCTGGGGGTGGGGGTGGGGGGCTGTTCGAATGAGTGCCCTCTCCTCTCCCCCAAGGGAAAGGCCCTCAGACTCTGCCTGAATCTTGCCAGGTTTGGGGGGGGTCTGACCTGGCCTCAGCAGAGAATTTTAGAGTTAGTGCTATTATTAATAGCAGCTGTAAGTCATTGAGGGCTTACCATAGGCCAGGCCCTGTGCTTAGCATCTCATATGGGCCTGTTGGCATTTCCACTTCACAAATGGGGAAGCTGAGGCCCAGAGAGGCAAAGGTGTTTGCCCAAGGTCACCCAGCCGGGACTTGAACCCTGACTATTTCTACTGCACAAACCAGACTGGCCAGGTGATGGCCGAGGGGCCTGCTTTCCCACACTTGGGCTGGGGCAGGACCGTGGGAGAGAAGCTAAGGGTCTGGAGAGAGCAAAGGTCAGGAGGGGGCGGCCCCCCTGCCACCACTGCCCCTACCTGATGCGTGTCTGATAAGGCCCTTTTGCGTCACAGCCCCGGAGCTGATGGAGCTGACATCTGGAGCTCGGCTCCCATGAGGGGCCCAGGGGTCAGGCTCGGTTGGCAGGAGTGGGCGTGTCCCCAGCCCTTTGCTAGTGGAATCCCAGCCAATCTGCCCCCTCCATCTGCAGCTGGGGAAACTGAGGAAGCTCAGGGATAGAGAATCCAGACACACAGCGGGTTACTTGGCCACAGGGGCCCGGGGGTGGAGCCCAGATGAGGCTCAAAGAGTTACCCAGTCCAATGGGTTTAGGGTACAGCCCAGAAGGGGAAACTGAGGCCTGGGGCACCACACAGAAGGGAGTTCAGAGATGGAACCCAGAGAGGGATATGGAGACACAGAACATCACCCAGTCTGAGGGACTCCGTGATAGTAACTGAGCTGGAGGCATTGGGGTGCCAGCCAGAGAGGACTAAGGGAAGGAATCCAGAGAGGGAAACTGAGGCACAGGGCAGGGCTCACCAGCAGACAGGGCTCTTGGTGCCAGTGTTACTCTTCCCTGGAATTCCTGAGGCGTTTGAGTTTGCGGATCTGTGACAGAGAGAGGGTGGTGGAGGTAGAGAGGTGGGGGCTGGGGCATCTAGGGAGAGGGCCACAGTGAGGGGAAGGTGGATAGACAGGCGGAGGGAACATTGGTTAAAAGCATGCGCTCTGAGCCTCATAGAGCTGGGTCTGAATCCCGCTCAGCCGTTACTCCTTGTGTGGCAAGTACCGTCACTTCTCTGAGCCTCCCGGGAAACCACAACACAATCCTTCACTCAGAATATATCTGGAGGGCCTACTACTACATCCCAGCGGGGGCGGGGGGCAGGGAGACAGTGGTGACCAAGACAGATCTTCCCCCAAGAAGCTCACAGTCCGGAAGTTGGGAGGAGTGGAGACAGACTTTAGATGGGGCAGTGGTGGTCAGGGAAGGCCTCTCTGAGGAGGTGACTTTTGGGCTGAGATTGGAATGACGGGAAGGAGCAGGCTGTGACAAGATGAGGAACGTAGAGCCCTGGCAGAAGGAACAGCATGTGCAAAGGCCCTGAGGCTGGACTGAGCTTGGTGAAACACAGAGGAGGCCCATGAGATGGGGCAGGGACAGGAGGTGAGGGGCCAGGGTAGACAGCTTGGGATTTGCTGGTAACTCTTATTATGAAGAGGGGATAGAGGATGCAGTGGCTTGGGGTTTGCTGGCACTCTTATTATGAAGGGAGGATAGAGGATGCGGCGGTGCAGTGGCTACTCCAGGCTATCTTTCATCTCTCCTGTTGGTTGAGCTTTGAGGTCTGGGTCCCCTGCTCTGTGCCTGCAGTGAGAGGTTCAGCTAAGGTCCACCCCTCCTGACAGGGAGCAACTCGCTGGTCCCCTCCCCAGGGAAACTCCCATTGAAATGAAAGCTGGGGAGGGCAATGCTTACCCCAGAGAGTGGTAGTTAAGGCAGGTTAAGCTAGGGGGTGGTGAGGCCAGGGATGACTCCCAAGCACACGCTGTTGACTTTTGGGCTTCCGGGGTCAGGACTCTGGGCTGTCTGGCTGGCCTCCTGCCTCCATGTTCCATTTGTATGCGTGGAAGCCCAGAGAGGCCATATGTGGTGGGTCAGGCATGCAATGGGTGGGTTGTGCAGCCATGACATCTTCTGCTGGTCCCCTGGGATCCTGCCTCTCACCTGGACCTGCTGTGTGACCCTGGGCAAGTCCCCTCCCCTCTGTGTATAGTGAAGGTGGATTGGGCCCTACCCATTGCTGCCCTCTCAACATCCCCCTCCAAACCCCTCCTTCCGCAGGTCTGGGAGCAGTGACCCCTACTGCATAGTGAAGGTGGATGATGAGGTGGTGGCCAGGTGAGGAGTGGGAACACAGCCTGGGGAGAGGGGAGCACTTTTAAAAGAGGAGCAGGGCAAGGCAATGCTTACCGAGGGGGGCTTGTGGGTCTGAAAGAGGATGCTTTGTCCCTGGCCCCTCTGGGGCTGAATGGCTGGGGCTGCCACCTCCTCTCCTGCCCTGGCCCCATCAGCCGGCCGGTCACCCTCCCCCTCTGGACCCCACGATGTCCCTGCTGGCTCCCTGGGGCTGACTCAGCAGCTGCCAGCCCGTGCCTCCCACGGTGGCCTCCCTGGGGGCAGGCAGCTCACGCTTGGCTGGGCTGTCTGGTTCCGAGCCTGCTGGGTTCTGCGGGCACCTGGGTGTATGTGAGTGTGAGTGTGTGGGTGTTGGTGGGAACGCCTGTGACCACATGTGTGTGTCCCTGTGGGTGTACCAGAGTGACTGTGTGTGTGTGCATGCACATGGCTGCCCCGTACACACACGTGTGCATCGATGTCTGCTTATCTGGGCACACCGGTGCTGCTGGTGTGAACACATGAGGATGTGCAGATGTCTGGCATGTGAGTGAGGGTTGTGGGGGCACTGGGCTGGGCCGTGCTCAGCTCCCATCCCCACAGGCCGAGGGACGGCTCTCCGCCCCCACAGGCTGGGGGGCAGGGGAGCGGCTGAGGCCTCGGTTCCTATGGAGACAACAGGATTCAGGATGTTTCTGGCACTGGTTCTGGTCCAGATGGGAAGGGAGCTGGGGGTGAGGAGCCTGTGGGGGGCAGGGGTCCCCTATGGTTCTCCCTGTGTCCACACTTGTGACACAGTCCCCAAACCTGCAGTTTGAACTTCTGTGTGACCCTAGGCTGCTGTCTCTCCCTCTCTGGGCTGTGAGAAGCCTTCCAGGTTCCCAGCTGAGAAAATGTCGGGGTCGGGGAAGAGGGTGTTTGGGAGGAAGCTCTGAGGGTACATCTGATGGTGGTGCCCGTGGGCTGGGTGCAAGAGCAGGCAGTGTGTGCGTGCGTGCAAGTGCACACTTTGTTGGGGAGAGTGTGGTGAATGGGAGGAGGAAGGGAGCCAGACATTTGGGCGTGTCTTCGGTAGGCCAATCAGGTTCTTTGTTCCCTTTGGGTAAAGAGAAGTGCGTCTGCAGGGGAGTCAGGGCCGAGATGCTGTGTATGAGTGTCTGTGTATATGTGTAGATCCTGGGTGGTTTGGGACCCTAATTCTTCTGAGGTTCTGACTTGCCTTGCTGTGTGCTGTGAAGCTCTGAGTGCTCTCACGGTCTCCTAGCCCCCTACACTCCCCTTCCCCTTCCTGTTCCTCAAACTCACCAAGCTCATTCCTGCCTCAGGGCCTTTGCACATGCTGTTCCTGCCACATAGAATACTTGCCCTTATCTTCTCTACCTGCTTTGCCTGACTACCTCTTGCAGGAAGCCTCCCCTGACCCCCCCCATCCCCCTCTAGACCTAATCAGGGGCTGAGGTAACCCTATCACAGGGCTCTTCCCACTGTCTTAAGTCCAGAGAGCACCTGCCCCCTGAGGGGCCTCTGTGGGCCAGATATCTGCCCGGTCCACTGATTCCCCAGAGCCCAGCACACTTATGCAGTGAGGGTGAATGTTCTTGGAGTGAAGGAATGAATGAGTGAAGGAATGAATGGAATTGTGTGTGTGTGTTATCTGTGAAATTCCGTGTGCGTATATGTCTGGATCCCTGTGTATCTGCATCTCTCTGTATGTGAGTGGGTATGGGAGTGTGTCTGTGGGTCTCTGTGTGTGTCTGCATGTTCTGGGCATTTCTTTTGTCTGTGTTGTCTATCTGTGTGAATGTGTCTGTTTTCTCTGGGTGTGTCTGCACATGTCTATGTGTATATATATGTTTCTAGAAATTTCTGAGGGTGCATATGTATGCCTGTGTATGTGTGAACGTGTCTCTTTGTGTCTCTGGCTATGTGTGTCTTTTTGTCTGTGTGTGTGTGTGTGTGTGTGTGTGTGTGTCTGGGCCCTTTGGTGTGTATTGGGGACCTGGGTGTGTGTATGTGATTGTGTGTGTGTGTGTGCGTGTGTGTGAGTGTATTTGTCTCTATATCTGGGTTCATGGGTGTGTGTTTGTATGTCCCTGGGTGGATATGTATCTAGGTCCTGGGTGCGTGTGCTCATGAAGTCCTTGTCCTTGTTTTCGTGTGTGTGTGAGTATGAGGGTCTAGGTCCTGTGTGTGTGTGTGTGTGTGTGTGTGAGTGTGTGTGTGTGAGTGTGAGGGTCTGTGTGTGTGTGTGTGTGTGTGTGTGTGTGTGCGTGGGTCCTCCTGTGTGTGTGTGTGTGTGAGTGTGTCTGGGTACCCATGTGCGTGCCTGTGTGGTCCGAGGACCCCCAGCCCCTGCACCCCCTCTTACAGGACAGCGACCATCTGGCGGAGCCTGAGCCCCTTCTGGGGTGAGGAGTACACTGTGCACCTGCCACTGGACTTCCACCATCTGGCCTTCTACGTGCTGGACGAGGACACTGTCGGGTGTGTGACTGGGGCAGGTGGAGTGTGTGTGTTGGAGGCCCAAGACTGGGTCGCTGAGGGGAGACAGGACTGAGGGTCATTGCCCACAGCAAAGTGCCCACCCGCCCAGCCCTTGACGTCTATCCCACACCCCCAGCCCCAGGATTTGTGTGGGTGGGGCAGGGATCCCCGAATGGAGCCCTTACCCGTTGGCACTTTTGCAGACATGATGACATCATCGGCAAGATCTCGCTGAGCAGGGAGGCGATTGCCGCTGACCCCCGAGGTGGGTGGGGGACTCTGGCTCCCTGCCGGGCAGAGTGAGGAGGGGGTGGCTGTGTTAGAGTCCACGTGGGCATCTGTAGGGGCACAGCAAGTGTCAGGGGAAGCACAGAGCATCAGCGAAGAATCAGTTCTGCTGTTGTTTATGCTTTTAATTTTTAATTTAGTTCAATTTATTGAACGGTTAATTCATTTACATCATTCAATAGTCAAAAGGTACAATAAGCAGTGACGCTCTCCTTCTCACCCCAGCTACTCTGTCCCACTCCCCAGTGCTGCCAGGTTTTTTGTACGTACTTCTAGAGCTATTTTAAATACGTATATACAAGCAAACGACAAGAATAATAGCAGCAAACACTTATGTGGTGCTTACTGTATGCTGAACACTTTCTAAGTGCTTTGCATGTATCCACTCGCGCGATTATCATAATAACCCTGTGAGGCAGGTGCTCTTATTACTCTCACTTTACAGGTGAACAAACTGAGAGGCACAGAGGCTTAAATGACTTGCCCAAGATCACAAGTTACTAAGTGGTTGGACTGAGATTTGAACCTAGGTTGTTCAGTTCCAGAGTCTGTGCTCTTAACACAGTGCTATATGTTTTGTTTTTTCCTGTTTATACGAATAGGAAGTAGCCTATTACACTCACTGTTCTGTTTCTTGCCTTCTCACTTAATCATGTATCTTGGAGCTCTTTCCATATTGAGGTTCCTCATTCTTTGTCTGGCTGCATGTGGTTGGACCATCGTTTATTTGCCTAGCTCCCTATTGATAGGCACTTTCTTTGCCTACAATCTTTTTCTAGTTCAAACAATGCTGCAATGCATAGTCTTGTACCACATGATTTCACACATACGCAAGTTATAGCAGATAAATTCCAAGAAGTGGATTTGCTGGATTAAAGAGTACCCACATTTGCACGTTTGATACTAGTGTTAAATTACTCTCCATAAGAGGAGGTACCAATTTACTCACTCACACTCTTGCCAACAATTATCACAATTTTTAATCTTGTATCTGATAGGTAAAAAATTGCCTTTGAGTATAGGTTTATTTTACTTCTCTTTGAATAAGGTTGAAAGTCTTTTAGTATATTTAAGAGTCATTTTATTTTCTTTTCTGCTTATTGTCTGTTCATATTGTATGTGCATTTTTCCTTTTTGGGTGGTTTGCCTTTTCTTATTGATTCGTAGGAGCTCTTTACATATTAGGGAAATAAACACTTTGTGATGTTAGCTGCAAATGGTTTTTCTCTCTTGCCTTATATTTTGACTTTGCTTATAATTTTTCCAAGTATACGCATTTTTTCTTCTTCTGTAGTCATCTTCATTACATACATATTTTTTTGTTTTGTTTTTGGTTCTTGATTTTCTGTCATATCTTGAAGGCCTACCCAACTCTAGACAATTTTTTTCAAAACATGATTTCTTCTAGCAACAATTTGTTTCATTTTTTTACATTTAAATCTTTGATCCACTTGGAATTTATCCAGACATAAAGGATGGGGTAGGGACTGAACTTTATTATTTTTTATCTAGATGATTTCTAGTTGTCCCAACACCATTTATCGAATAATCTAGCTTTTTCTTCAGTGGGAATTAGTTGAGACCAACAATGTGCTAATCATCTTCGTATCATTGCTCCTATTTAATGAGGGCTTACTATGTGCTAGGAGCCCTGGTGGCACAGTGGTTAAGTGCTTGGCTGCTAACTGAAAGGTTGGTGGTTCGAACCCAGCAGCCGCTCTGCGGGAGAAAGATGTGGCAGTGTGCTTCCGTAAAGATTTATAGCCTTGGAAACCCCATGCGGCAGTTCTCCTCGGTTCTAGAGGGTCACTATGAGTCAGAATCGGTCGGCAAGGGGTTTTTGGTTACTGTGTGCTAGGCACAATGCTAAGTGCTTTACATTTAGTCCTTATAACACCCCAATGAAGTATGCACTAGAATTACCTCCATTTTACAGCTGATGGGAAGTGAAGCTTAGAGAGGCGAGGTGACTGCCCTAGGTCACATGACTAGACAGTGCAGGGGTGGGACTCGAGTCCAGGATGTGTCCACCTCCAAAATCTGTGTTTCTAACCTGCCCAATGAGCTGTAATGTGCCTTGAACATCTACCCAAGGGGGAAGAGTTAAATGAATGAAGTATGAGGCCTGGCTTCAAGGAACTCGATTGCAAAAGAAAAGACATTCACATAGAACAGGAAACAAGAAAAGGAGGAAACTGCCTGTGTGTCTGCAACTGTGTTGGGTGCTTTTTATTTTTTAAACAAGACTTTGATAGACTGGGACAGAAATGTGGGCGTGAGGGTATGTGGAACATGGCAGTGGATGAGGAGGAGAGGGCAGTGAGGGCTCGTGTGGTCAAGGAGGGCTTCCTGGAGGAAGGGGAATATGAGTTGGTCCTTAAAGGTGCTTTGGCAAAGACACTAAGGTGCATTTCTATGGATTCTCTTCTGGAGGCAGGTGTGGACCAGGTTTTATATGCCAGGCTGAAGAGTGTGATCTGTACCACTATAGCATGGGCCCTGGGGCTCTACTGCCTGTGTTCAAATCCTAGCTCTGCCGTTTACTCGCTGGGGGATCGTGGACAGGGCTCTTCCCTCCCTGTGCCTTATTCTTCTCATCTGACATAATTTCAGTCCCTACATTAGAAGGTTGACTGGAGAAGTCAGTGACTTAACACATTTTTAATCTTAATTGAATTTTTAAGTTACTACAATGCCTAGTTACATGGTAGGTGCTTAATAAATGTTAGTGTCTATGCCTGCCAAAGGAGCCCTGGTAGCGCAATGGTTAAGTGCTTGGCTGCTAACCAAAAGGTTGGCGGTTCAAATCCATCAGCAGCTCCGTGAGAGAAAAGACCTGGCAGTCTCCTCCAGTAAACATTACGGCCTAGAAAACCCTATGGGGGCAGTTCTACTTTGTCACATGGGGTTACTGTGAGTCAAAAATTGACTCGATGGCATCCAACAACAACAATGCCTGCCAGGGATCGACAGCTGGATCAACCTGAGCCGTGTGGACCCGGATGCAGAGGTGCAGGGTGAGATCCGCCTGTCGGTGCAGATGATGGACGATGTGAGGGGCCGCTGCCTCCGCTGCCACGTGCTCCAGGCTAGGTATGGTCATGAGGCGTAAGTGTGTGTTTGAGAATGAGCAGGGATCTCCTGGGTCTCCCCAGCTGCCCTTGTCTTTAGGACCTCCTTACTCCAGGGCACTTCTGGGCTCACAGCCAGGATCCCTGTGTGAGTAAACAGCTCCAGCCTCACCGGTTGCTACTTCCTGGGGGCAGAGCACAAGCAGATCTCCTTATCGAGTCCTCAGTAACCAGCAACAACAGGCCAGACGTTCAGGATGGCCAGACAGATGTGTGGAGGTTTATTAATCAAATTGTAAGTGACAAAAACGCAGTTCATACTGGCTTCAGCAGAATAACTAATTTATTGGCTCAAATGACTGACACGTGCTTCAGGCATGGCTGGATCCAGATGCTTGAACAGTGCCATCAGCAATTTGTTTCTGTTTTTTGGTTCTGCTGTCCTCTGTGTTAGTTTCATTCTTAGGCAGACTTTCCCCAGGTGGGGGGCAAAGATGGGCCCAGCAGGCTAGGCTGGCATCCTGCAAATTTAGCATCTCCAACTAAAAAATAACTTCTATTTCTAACCAATATCCTGGGGACTAATTCTTATTGGCTCAGTCTGGGGTGCATGATCATCTCTGAACCAATCATACTGACTCTGATTGGTCAGGCCTGAGTCACAAATCCATTCCTGGAGTGGAGGGTGGGGTCGGTTCACCTAAGTCAGGTGGTCTGGGAGTGGGGGAGGGGTAGGTACTGCCTCAAAGGAAAATCAGAAGGAGGAGGGATACAGGACCAGCAACATCCACAGATGTCCCCTCCAGGGGTACCAGCTCATGGGACATCCATCTTCCCTCTGGCCCACTCACCGCTCTGCAATGCCCTTCTCTCGTCCTCAGTATGCCCATCATTCTACCCCCTTAAATGCCTTCTTTTTTCCCTCTCATTCCCCCATCCCATCTGTCTGCCTTATTTTCTCACCTCACTCGCCCGATCCTCACTTTTAGGACAAACCTCGCCCAGGGAGGGGAGGACCTATATTTCTAGTTTGCTGTGTGACCTTAAAACCCTTCCTTGCCCTCTCTGTGACTCTGCCACAGTCTCCAGATTTCTTCTCCTAGCTTGAGCCCCAGCTGGGGTTCCCTGGAGTCTGGATGAGGGAGAGCCAAGGAGGCAGGGGACAGGTGAAGAGGCTCAGCACAAGGCAGGGGCTCCCTGTCTGCTCTGTGCCCACAGCCCCCTCCCCAGGCACGAGGCTGTGCAGCATCCTTGCAAGTAGGAGAGGGACTGATTGCTGTCGCTTAGCAACTAGGTTGGCTCCTAGGAAACCAAAGAAGGCTCTGGATGCCAAGCAGGGGTGGGAGAAGGGCAGGAGGAAGAAGCAAGCAGCCTGGGGAAGGTGTGTCCTTGGATTTGGGGGACCTCGGGAAGGAGGGGTGGGGGAGGCTGACTGGGGTGGGTCTTTTGGGTTGTCATGGAAACCAGAGTTAGGGGGTTCCTGCCTCATGACTTTGCTTCAGCCGTAGGCAGGGTGTAGGAATATGTTTGTTGAATGAATGACAGAGCCAAGAACTTGCTATCTGCCAGATGCTATGCTAAGCCCTTTACACACCTTATCTTATTTAATCTTTTGCCCTGTGAGCTTGGTTTGTTCTTACTCCCATTTTACAGATGCAGAAAACTGAGGTTCAGAGACGTGATGTGATTTTTCTCAAGGTTACCCAGCCTGGCATCCAGCCTCCTATCCAGGGGCTCCAAGGAAACTGAGGCTCCCTGCCCCCCAACTGCACCTTTGTTTCATGATGCAGGATTTGACTTTTCTGTGCCTCAGTCCCCTCATGTGGAAAATAGGGTCCTACTAGTGCCTCGCCATAGGGCAGATGTGAGGCAACAGGAAGATATCGGCTCTGGGTGGGCGTGATGACAGGGGCCCCTCACTGGTCCCCTGTGATGGAGCAGGTCATTACCTTGGAAACCAGCAGCATTTGAGTGATCTACTCTGGAGCCCCCCACCCCCACCTCAATCTTGGTCCCTGAGAGTCCTGTCTCCCCTCACCCCTTTCCTCATCTGTCTCCAGGGACCTGGCCCCCCGCGACATCTCTGGCACCTCTGACCCATTTGCACGTGTGTTTTGGGGCAGCCAGAGCTTGGAGACCTCGGTGAGTGGAGGCAGGAAGGGAGCCGGGAAGGGGAGGGGTGTCAGGGGTGGAGTAGGGGGCACCAGCGCCCTCCCTCACAGACTACCTCCTCCTCCCCAGACAATCAAGAAGACCCGCTTCCCACACTGGGACGAGGTCCTGGAGCTGCGGGAGCTGCCAGGAGCACCGTCCCCGCTGAGGGTGGAGCTCTGGGACTGGGACATGGTGGGCAAGAACGACTTCTTAGGCATGGTGAGTGCCCTGTCCCCGACACCCTCTGTGGTTCCCCCGTGCCCTCAAGGGGAAAGAAGGGGGAGATAGACTGAGCCTTCTGGGGCTGGGATGGCAGATGTGGATGCTGCCTCCTCAGGTTCTCCAGGAGTCCAGGACTGGCCAGGCCTAGGTGATGGCGCTCCATTGACCCATTGTACGGATGAGGAGACTGAGGCTGTCATGGGCCAGGGACCTGTCCAAAGTCACAGGGTGAGCCCAGATTCTCATTCTGGGAAGAGAACAGCCAGGACAGCTGTGTGCCTGCCCTGTGCTTCTCCAGCAGAACCTCATTTACACAACCCTCTGACAACCCTATGAAGCTGGGACTGTTGTTATTCCCATTTTACAGATAAGGAAACTGAGGTTCAGGAGGTCAAATGACTTGCCCAAGGTCACATGACTAAGAAATGACAGAGCTGGGATTTGAGTTCAGGTCTCTCTGATTCCAGAACCGAAGCCCTATACCAGGATCCACTGGGCTCAAGGCCTTCCTCTTGGAGCCTCAGCTTTTCCATCTGTAAAATGGATGTGATTTTTCCTGCCACTTAGGAATAGTGGATGTGAAAATGGCTATATACTCAGAGCTGGCATTTTTTTTTTTTAAAGGAGGCAAGATTAGAGCAAATCAAAGAGAGACTCAGTCATGCATTGCTGGTAGGATTTTAAAATGGTGCAGCTGCTGTGGAAAAGTCTGGCAGCTCCTCAAAAGGTTAAATATAGATTTACCATATGACCCAGACCACTTCTAGGTGTGCACCCAAGAGAGATGAAAACATACGTTTACCCAAAAAGTTGTATTCGAATGTTCGTAGCAGCATTAATTCATAGTAGCCGAAAAGTGGAAACAACCGAGATGTCCATCAGCTGATGAATGGATACGCAAAATGTGATCTTTCCATACAATGGAACATTCCTGCTAATTGGCATGGGCTTTTGTGGAGTGGGAGATGATGAAAATGTTCTGATATCAGCAGTGGTGGTTTCACAACTCCGTGACTGTACTAGAAACCATTGAATTGTATGCTTTAAATAGGTGAATTGTATGGTATGTGAATTCTCTCTCAATAAAGCTGTTATTTAAAAAAGACAAAGGGCGAGAGAGGGCTTGGGGCCTTCTGGACCATCTTAAGCTTTCTGATAGACGTAATGTGTCCGCAAACAGAGCTGAAAATACACCCAGTCCAGACATGTTTAAGTCCTGGCTGTCTCTAGCAGCTGCGGGACCTTGAGCCAGTCTCTCTGCCTCTCTGAACCCTCAGTGCCCCAGGGGGAGGAAGTAATCTGGGGCTGGGGCAAGGACAGGGGTACCGAAGCTGTGTTGGTGGGAGATGGTGGGGGGGGGGGCCTCTGGCAGGCCATGCTGCCTTTCCTTGGGTGAGCTGTCTGAGTTCTTCTTCCAGGCAGCGGGGGGTGGGGGTGGGGGGGCAGGGCAGGGCTCAGCTGAGGGCCCGTATGCCCCCACAGGTGGAGTTCCCCCCACAGGTCCTGCAGCAGAACCCACCCAACGGCTGGTTCCGCCTCCTGCCATTTCCCAGAGCCGAGGAGGATGCTGGGTAAATGTGGGGTCCGGCGAGGGGATCAGGCTGGAACCATGTTGCCAGCCCACACACTATTACCATGTCACTTCATTCCTTCATGCACGCATGCATTCATTCAACAAAAGTCTGTTGAATGCCGCTTAATGCGGACTTACATACGTCTAAATGAGTTCACCTTATATCCGCCCATCTGTTCATGTACAAACATGTCATTTCACATTATTGGGTTCTTCCACACCTTTCCATACCTGTTCACACTATCCACACCTGTCTACACCTGTTCACACTATCCACAACTGACTACACTGTCCATACCTCTTCATTCTGTCCATTCCTGTACACACTTGTTTATGCTGGCCACACCTGTTTGCACCATGTGGTCTGCAAACTTGCCCTTGCCTGTTCACACCTGTCAATACCTGCTCACACCTGATTTTCTGCCCACACCTGTTCACACCTGCCCCATTTTGCCAACATCCACGCAAATATCCTTATCTGTGTTCACACCTGCTTATCTGGAATATCCACACCTGGCCATGTGTCCTTATGCTCCTTCACCTGTGGTCTGGCCCTGGGCAGGAGGAACCTGGGGGCTCTGCGGCTGAAGGTGCGCCTGAACGAGGATCGTGTCCTGCCCTCCCCATACTACCAGCCGCTCACGGAGCTGCTGATGGAGTCTGTGCTGAGGCCGGCAGAGGTGGGTGCACCAGGCACGCGGTTCCACTTGGAATATGCAGGTGTCGGGCTTATGGCCCCCCCACTTCAGGGAACCCCACCTGGGCTCCTCTGCATTGAAGCCTCCGGGCCCTGGGCCACCTCTCCCACCTCTTGTCCCTGCCCAGGAGGATGCTGCTAGCCCCCTGGTTGTACTGGAGGAGGTGACCTTGGGGGACTGCCGCCAGGACCTCGCCACCAAGCTGGTGAAGCTGTTTCTTGGCCAGGGCCTGGCTGGGCCCTTCCTGGACTATCTCACCCGGCGTGAGGTGGCTCGGACCAGTGAGTTGCCCCCCGACTCCCAGACACTGCCCCAGGAGTCTGGGCCTGCAGAGGGTCCCTGGGAGAGGAACGGGGAGCCCTCAGGCAGAGGGTGGGGCTCCTGTGGGGGGTGGTCCCTGCTGTGTGCACCCCCAGCCAGCCTGGGAGCTCAGCCCTGGGCTCAGACCCTGGTTTTGCTACTCGTGAGCTGTGTGACCCTGGGCAACTCACTTATCCACTCTGGGCTTCTGCACTGTGACAGGGGTTGACCGTGCGGGTCTCCCCTGTCCTGAGCTGGAAGAATGATGACTTCCACCTTGGCTGGGTACGGTGAGCTGCGTCCAGCCTTCCATATCCCAGCAGTCCTTCCCCCTGTCCTCTCAGCCGACCCCAACACTCTGTTCCGTTCTAACTCGCTGGCATCCAAGTCGATGGAACAATTTATGAAGGTGAGAAGGGTTGGTGCGCCGTGAGGCCACTTCTGGAGAGGACCCCCTTCCCGGTGCTTAGCTGGACGCAGCGCTTGGCCAGCCTCAGGTGGCACTGGCTGGCTGGGCTGGGGTGTTGGTGGCTGGTGCCTGGCCTTGTTCCAGGCTGCACCTCCCATGGTGGCCCTGCCCAGCCCTTGGTTGTACCCCAGCCTCATTTTGAGTGCCCCACCTGATGCCCCCCAGCCTTGCCTCATGTGCCCTGGGGGGTGCCCCCTGCCCCAGTTCTTGGACATGCTGAGCCTTGCCTTGAGCTTCTCCCTGCGTGCCCCCCTGCCCCCGACTCATGGGCACGCCTCGGCCTTGCCCTCAGCTCTGCCCCGTGTGGTGCCCCCTGCCCCCAGCTCGTGGGCATGCCCTATCTGCACGAGGTCCTGAAGCCAGTGGTCAACCGTGTGTTTGAGGAGAAGAAGTACATGGAGCTGGACCCGGGCAAAATGGAGCTGGGCCGCACACGGTGAGCAAAGCTCAAAAGGGGTTCCCGACCTTCCCCCAGCCCCCTGTGCCCACCAGGAGCCTTGATAGGTGGGCCGAGCCAACTGCCACCCCACCCTAGGGGCACAGCTACTCAGGAGTTGCACAGATAACCTCAGAGCCTTCAAAATGAGCATGTAGTCCCTTAGGCTGTGTAGTGTAGTGGTTAAGTGCAGGACTCTGAAATCCACCTCCTCTGGGTTCAAATCCCAGCTCTGCCTCTTACCTTCCATGCCTGTAACTTCATCTGAAACATAGGTTCATGCTATTGACCTTGTGGGTTGTTACAAGGCTCATGAGTGGGTGTGAGAATTAAACAAGTTATAACCACAAAGCCCAGGGCATGGTGAGCACCCTAGAAGTATTATCTTTACTATGGCGGTGATGGTTTTATTATTCTATTATTGTTGTGGTGCTGAATTCTAATCTCAACTCCACCATTCATTTGCAAGGTAACCTCTCTGAACCTCAGTTCCCTCATCTGTTAAATGGGACCAGTCAGGCTACTTAGCCCATTGGGTTGCCTTTCAGATCCAATAATCCAGATCAATTGATCCGGATCAATTTCCAGAAGGCAATTCGTCCAGGGCTTAGCTTGTTGACTCCATGCTTTGCTCCCATGGAGCGTGCAGTCTGGGGGTGAACGAGACAGACACTAAATCTGTAGCTAAAGAAGGGAGTGAGATAATTGCAGGAAGAAAACTGCTAGTCCGTTCTCCACTCAACAAAATCATTGTTGAGTACCTGCTATGTGCCAGGCACTGGGCAAAGCACTGAGGATATGACAGGGAACAAATGGACACACATCCCTCTTCTGGGGGAGGACAGATAATAAACTAAAGAAGATTACTGGAGATGATCAGTGGACTAGAGGAGATAAAGCAGGGGAGGTGTGGGAAGTGCCAGCAGGCGGGGAATGGGGTCCTACAGACAGCCTCCAAGAGAAGGGGACATTTGAGCAAGGACTTGAAGGAGGTGAAGGAGGGAGTCATGGGGAGACCTGGTGGAACAGTGTTAGAGGCAGAGGGAAGAGAAAGTGCAAAGACCCTGAGGTTGGACCATGGGTTTGGCATGTCCATACCAGAAAGGCAACGAACCAGGGTCTGTGATGATGAGCAATGGCGGTAGGACAGCCTCCTTGAGGAGGAGACACTTAAGCTGAATGTGTGGGTAAGAGTGTTCCAGGCAGAGGGAACAGCATGTGCAAAGGCTTTGAGGTGGGAATGATCTCAGTGTGTTTGAGGAATAGTAGAAAGCCTGAGGTTGCACAGATGGATGCTGTGCTCTGAGGCTGAGCTGCCCCACTTGCTCCTCCAGGCGTATTTCCTTCAAGGGCATGCCCTCGGAGGAGCATGTGAGGGAGACCAGCCTGGGGCTGCTGACCGGCTACCTGGGACCCATCATGGACGCCATTGTGGGCTCTGTAGGGCGCTGCCCACCCGCCATGCGCCTGGCCTTCAAGCAGCTGCACCAGCGCGTGGAGGAGCGCTTTCCCCAAGCAGAGCACGAGGTAGGCATGGGGGACCAGGTGCTCCCATCAGGCGGGTGGGGAGACTGAGGCTGAGGAGGGGCAGTGACTTGTCCAGGGTCACACGGTGAGGCAGGGGTGGGACGAGGACCCAGGCTGCCTGCGCAGAAGCACTCTGTTCCGGCAGAAGTGGGGACAGCATTCCCGGAAGGAGTAATAATAATAATAACAATAGCAACTAACACTAGATGTAGCCCTTACCATGGCCCAGACCTTGTTCTGAGTGCTTTACATATTTATTACAGCCTCTAATCTTCCCATCCTCCCTGTGAGGTGGGTGCTAGTATTACTCCCATTTGACAGAGGCCCCGAGAGGTGAAGTCACACCTCTGGGAAGGGGTGGTGCTTGATGAGGAACCCAGGCAGGCTGGCTCCTGAGTCTTGCTCATAACCACCAAATAACAGAGTATGGCACAAAGTAAGTGCTTCTTAAATTGCAGCTATTACTGAGAGACACACACAGGCAGATAGCCACACCAGTCGGGCACATTTAGGGCTCAGGAGGAGACACCAAAAATAAAATCTAAAAATAAGTCCCTGGCGCCAAAGTTGAAAACTCAGATGCTGTGGGTAAATGAACGAAGCAGGTGAGATGTGGGACACTAGGGAGTGGTGGGGACTGCGGCAAACTGCAGTACCCACAGCTTATCTAAAGGGGGCAGCTTCCGGCTATTATTACCATGTAGGAATCCCAAAAAAAGAAAAAAAATTGTTGCCATCGAGTCGCTTGTGACTCATAGCGGCCCTATAGGACAGAATAAAACTACTCCATAGGGTTTCCAAGGAGCGGCTGGTGGATTTGAACTGCTGACCTTTTGGTTAGCAGCTGTAGCTCTTAACCACTGCACCACCAGGGCCCCACCATGTAGCAATAGGGTCCCATATTGCCAGAGCTTCTGAGTTTTTGTTTTTTTTTTTAAGCCAAAATTCTGGATTTTATGTGGGGACTCTCATTTTTTAAAATGTGGTACTAACTCACCTTTTAAAAAATCCACCTTGGCCTAATCGTTACATATTTGTGGTTGGACTGGCCCACGGGACACTAGTTTGAGACCTCCTGGCTTAATGTTCAGCACACCCACCGAGGTGACTGTCACTGTTCTTGCTTACAAATGACATGGGGGAAGAGGAAGACTTCTTACATAGGCCTGATGTAGCAGAAACGCACACTGGGATCTAACCTGCTGAATGGTGGAGCTGAAATGGCCCAATCCTAGAGCCGTGATTTACCTCACATTTCTCCCTACTTGTTTTTAGACGGGGGAACCCAAGGCCTGGACAGGTAAAGACCCTGGGCCAAGGGTTGTGGATTTAGACCTAGGTCTCCTGACTCCTGGCTGAGGTCTTTCCCCTCAGCCCTCTCTCCCCACAGCCCCTCCTTTTGCCCGAGGAGTGCGCTCTGGGTTCTAACTGGGACGTGGTTTGATTTACACCCCACTTTGCCGGGCTCTCACCTGAGCTGCTGGCGGAGGCATTAAGCGGGGCAGAGTTGTGGCTGGGAGGAGGGAAGGCAAGGGGGCAGCTTCCCAGATAGCCCAGCCCTTGTGGGAGAGCCAGTATCAGGGACACACCAGTGCCCCCCAGTTCTCAGCCCCCAAGGTGGGCAGCGGCCTTGGGCAGGGAGCAGAGACTTTCTGAGGTCCCCGAGGGTGGGTGGGATCAGGGGAACCCAGGGGAGCCCCTCTCTCTGCTGCTGTGACACGTTTCTCCCCTCGAGAAAGGAGGAAGTTAAGCTGATGTTGAAGGCTAAATTTACCCTGGAACCCGGCTAGGGAGGAGGTGGTGGCCTTGGGGGAAGCTCAGGGTTCGAGGGGAGCCTGGGGGAATGTGGGGTGACAGAGACCCTCCATCTGGGCAGCTCCGGGGCCCAGCTTCTGGTAGGGCTTGCTGTCAAGGCTGAAGTGCCCCAGGAAGCTGGCACACACCCAGAGGAGGGTATTGTCTCATGTGTGAATACAACCCCTAAAAAAACACGGGAGTGCATTCTCGGGCTAAATATAGCTGGCAAGTGTGAGAGGTGGGTGGTGAGCCAGTGCTGGGGGATCCAGATGCTCCCAGGATGGAGGCACACCCCCTCCTGGAGTCTCCTCGGCTGGAGCTGAGAGAACCCGCCTCACACAGAGGGCCACAAGACTCTACAGTTTGTAAGGGGCAGAGGCCGGGGCTGAGGAGGGCACATGGGATGAGTTCTGGAGCCAGCTGAACTGGGTTCACTACTGAGCCTCAGTTTCCTTGTCTGTAGAATGCAGATGACAAGACCTACCCCGCAGAGTTATTTGAGGGTTAAATGTGATAGTCCAAGCTTAGCTCCTGGCCTTCAGTGAGCACGCACTCCAGGGTAGCTGGCATTGAATGGCAGGAGAGCATGGTTAACAGCAGAGTTCAAATCCCACCTGAGTTCAAATTCTGACTCTGCCACTTATGGCCTTGGGCAACTGACCTTCCTTCTCTGGGCCTCAGTTGCATCCTCTGTAAAATGGGGATGATAATCCTTTCTAGGGTGAGTATGAAATGAAAAAATGTATGGAGAAGTGCCTGGCCTGCTGCTGTTATTATTACCATAAATTATACAGATCTGGGTTTGAATCCTCCTCCACTCATCAGCTGTGTGACCTTGGGTCAGTCACTTGACATCTCTGAGCTTCTGCTTCCTCATTTGTAAAGTGGGAATAATGATCATGCCTCCCTCATAGGCCTGTGCCCTTAGGACAGTGCCCGGCACAAAGCTGACTCTGAGAACCTTTGGCTAAATCTGAATGTGCAGGACTGGTCTTGTTATCCCATTTTCCAGGTGGAGAAACTGAGGCCTAGAGAGGAAAAGAGATTTCCAAGTCCGCAGACCTGCTCCTTGGCTGACCTCCTCAATGGTCTCCTGACCTACTCCATCCCCCTTCCCTTGCACCACCAGTCTCTAGCCCCTGTTGCCTCAGTTTCTCCAGCTAGGAAGTGGGCGTTGGGGGCACCCCCCTCACCTGCTGCTTCTTCCAGCAGGACCTGAAGTACCTGGCCATTAGCGGCTTCCTCTTCCTGCGATTCTTTGCACCTGCCATCCTCACTCCGAAGTTGTTTGACCTCCGGGATCAGCACGCGGATCCCCAGACCAGTCGCTCGCTGCTGCTGCTCGCCAAGGTGTCTGCAGTGGAGGCCCCCATCCCCAAAGCTCTCAGCCAGGGGAAAGCGTGGTAGGAACAAAGCTGAGGGGCTAGCTACTCAGAAAAACCACCTGAGACCCAGAGAAACCCAGGCATGAAGCACCATTATTAGCATTCCTCTCAGAGCGTGAAGGCATTCGTTAAGCTCTCCAATCTCCTCTTTTGAAGATTTCCTTCAAGGAGGAAAGTGGGAAACAGGCTAGCAGTCATTTACACTTTAGTGTGAATTAGCCCATCCTTTACAAAGTGGCAACATCTTGAGATTCTGATGGGTTCCAGAGTATGCATGATAGGATTGAGCAGTACTGGGTAGGGGAGATCTAGGTCTGTGGATGATGGGGTGTGACAGGGTAAGGACAATGGGTGAAGATTCCAAAAGGTGAAGGGAACAACAGATTTCCTAAGACAGGCTCTGCTATGGGTCTTCTCCTTTGCTGAGCACTGATTTGGGAGTCAGGACTCGAACTGTGTTCGGGGTCCAGAGGGGGGCTTCCCCTCCCCTGCCCTCTACCCCCCCCCAGTGACCTTGACCCTGGTGTCTCCTGCCCCCTGCTCCAGGCTGTGCAGAGCATTGGTAACCTGGGCCAGCAGCTTGGCCAGGGCAAGGAGCTGTGGATGGCCCCCCTATATCCCTTCCTGCTGCAGAGTATCTCGCGTGTGAGAGACTTTCTGGACCGGCTGGTGAACGTGGAAGCGGTGGGGGGTGAGTTCCTGGGCCCTGCCACACCTGGCTAGTCACCCACTGGGCCCTCAGGACCTGCCTTCCACCCTTCCCTCCTCAGCACTGAGAATGTGGATCCAACTAACACTTCCTGGCACCTACTATGCTAGGTCCTGGAGATGGACAGGGCTCAGGTCCCGCTCTCCAGGGCATTCCAGCCAATGAGGAGATGTGGGCAGGGCCATGGCACAGGGAGCATTCAATCAACAAGTATCCTGGTGGGGTGTGGTTAAGCATTAGGCTGCTAACCGAAAGGGAAAGGTCGGCAGTTCAAATCCACCAGCCTCTCTGTGGGAGAAAGATGTGACAGTCTGCCTCTGTAAAGATTACAACCTTGAAAACTCTATGGGGCAGTTCTATTCTGTCCTATAGGGTCGCTATGTGTCAGAATCTACTCCATGGCAATGGGTTAATATCATAGGCGGAAGGAGCCCTGGTGGCGCAAGGGTTAAGGGCTCAGCTGCCAACTCAAAGGTCGGTGGTTGGAACCCACCAGCCACTCCAAGGGAGAAAAGACCTGGTGATTTGCTTCCGTTAAAGATTACAGCTTTGGAAACCCCATGGGGCAGTTCTCTGTCCTATAGGGTCACTATGAGTCAGAATTGACTCCATGGCAACGAGTTTGGTTTAACGCTAAAAAATAAAGCAGAGAAAGGGGCTAGGGAGCACATGGATGGAGGTGGCAGGAGAAAATTCTAGATAGGCTGAACAGGAATGGCCTTGAGGAGGTGACCTCAGAGTAAAGACCTGGAGGAGGACAGAGATGAGTCATGAGGATCCTGGGGGAGAGTGTTGCAGGCTGAGGAAACAGCAAGTGCAAAGGCCCTGAGGTAGGCATAAGGAGCAACAGTGAGAAGTCCAAGTGAAGAGTGAATGGTGGGGGAGAGGAGGAGAGGAGAGGGACCCCAACCATGTGGGGTTTTGGAGACCACCGTAAGGATCTTGGCTTTTACTTGGAATGAAAAGGAGCCATGGAGGGTTTTAAGCAGAGATGGGGTTGAGTCTCTGTCACCATGGGGGGTCCAAGTTATGACACAGTTGAGTGCAAGTCATATAGGAGCAGCCTGTCCAAATGTGGAGCCCTGGTCATGGCATGGTGGGGTCCCTGTGGTACTAGGGAGGAGTCTGTGTCTTGCTCTTTGGGGGTGGAGAGATCCAGGACCCTCCCTGGGCTGGGCTCCATGGGGTGTGGCTCCCCCTGCTGGCTGTCTGCACCACAGACTGCAAATCCCAGGCCCCCCACCCCAGGCCTCAATGACATGATTCCATACGGAGCCAGTGGAGGTCAAAGGCCATCATGTTCATCCTTCTGCCTCCAGGGGAGCAGAGAACCAAGCTCATCCATGTGGGCACTGGGCCTGCTGGTGGGGCAGGTGGAGCCTGGATAGGGAGGGCTGACTGTCCCCCTCCCCATTTCCCAGAGGCTGGGGGCTCAGCCAGGGCCCTGGTCCCGCCCTCGGTGACCGTTCGAGAAGGCTACCTGCTGAAGCGCAAGGAGGAGCCCGCCAGCCTGGCCACACGTTTCGCCTTCAAGAAGCGCTACTTCTGGCTCAGCGGGGAGACCCTGTCCTACTCCAAAACTCCTGAGTGGCAGGTGGGGCCCAGCCCACAGTGGAGGGGTTTCCAGCGGCAACCCCCCTCATAGAGCCCTTCTTTGTACCTAGGGGGAAACTGAGGCCCAGAGCAGGGCAAGGGCTTGCCTAGGGGCCCATAGCAACTCAGAAACTCCCAGCTCTCAGGCTAGGCTCTGCTCACTGCTTGGGGCAAATGCAGGCACAGGACAGGGGCAGTAGTACACCTACACATGCTCCCCCTGCATCAGAATGTGCATACAGAGGTCCAGACACACCCTCCCAGGTGGGGACACACACAGGCACGGGCACTGCTTGGCCACCCTCACGTGTCCCCACCCAGATCTGTGCCCACACACTCTGTGGACTCACATGAAATCTGATGAGCTCACTTGCAGGACATGCCCGGCTGGGCAGACACATACATCCAGGCCTGCACTCATTCGTTCATTCACTCAGCAAGGCTTTACTGAGTGCCGACTCACCGCCCTGCACTGTTCTCCTAAGGCTGATGTTCAAGGTCAGTACCCATCCCTACGTATGCACATCCATAAGCTGTAATAGAAACATTGCAGAGGGTGCACACTCTTATTATCCCTGGTGGTGCAACGGTTAAGTGCTGGGCTGCTAATCAAAAGGCTGGCAGTTCGAAACCACCCAGAGGTTCCACGGGAGAAAGACCTGGCAATCTGCTTCTGTAAAGATTGTTGCCGTTGGATGCCGTCGAGTTGATTTAGACTTACAGCAACTCCACGTGTGGAACTGCCCCATAGGATTTTCCAGGTGGCACAGTGGTTAAAGCAATCAACTGCTAACCGAAAGGTCAGTGATTCAAAACCATCAGAGGCTCCACGGGAGGAAGATGTGGCAGTCTGCTTTCGTAGAGATTTACGGCCTTGGAAACCCTACGGGGTCACTATGAGTAGGAATCAAGTCAATGGCAGTGGGTTTGGTTTTTCAAATTTTTGTGGGAGCAGATACAGCCTAGAAAACCCTACGGAGCAATTGTACTCTGTTACATGGGGTCTCTATGAGTCAAAATCTACTCAATGGCACCTAGAACAACAACTTCGAGAAGTCTACTCCCTGGGTTCCAATTCTGGCTCTGCCACATACCAGCTGTGTGACCTTGGAAGAGTCATTCATCCTCTTGTGCCTCGGTTTCCTCATCTGCAAAGTGGGGAAAATAACAGACAGAACTATAAAGCACTTAGAATCGCATCCTGAGCTCCAGTAGGTGGTAGCCATTATTAATATTAAGGAGTCCTGGTGGCCCAGTAAAGTGCTCAGCTGCTAACCAGAAGGTTGGCAGTTCGAACCCACTCAGCAGCTCCATGGGAGAAAAGACGTGGCAATCTGCTCCCATAAAGAATACAGCCTAGAAAAGCCTATGGGGCAGTTCTACTCTGTCGATTACGGTTGCTATGAGTCAGAATCGACTTGATGGCATCTAACAACAACACTATCATCATCATCATCACCATTATCATTATTATAGAAGCGGAATCTGATGCCCAGAGAAATTGTCATGTGCTCAGGGGCATGAGGCTGCACTGGGGGACTCGGATGTGGACAGTCAGTGGACACGCTCACACAGCACAGACGCAGGGTTGAGTGTCCTGCCCCTGGGGGCACCCCCTGATACACACACCCGGAAAGCTGACCCTGGGCCCCAGTCCCCAGCACACCCGGCAGCGACTGTCCTCTCCCCCAGATGCGCTCCTCCATCCCGGTGTCGCACATCCGCGCCGTGGAGCGCGTGGATGAGGGCGCCTTCCAACTGCCCCACGTGATGCAGGTGGTGACGCAGGACGACGCGGGGGCGCTGCACACCACCTACCTCCAGTGTAAGGTGAGGCGCCGCAAAGATGGGGCCTGGGGTGCTTCCCTGGGGTCCCACCCTATGCACTGACGCCCCGCGTTTCCTGCAGAACGTAAACGAGCTGAACCAATGGCTGTCGGCCCTGCGCAAGGCCAGCGCCCCGAATCCGGACAAGCTGGCCGCCTGCCACCCGGGTGCCTTCCGCGGCGCACGCTGGACCTGCTGCCTCCAGGCCGAGCGCTCAGGTGAGGAGGCGGGGCGGCTGCAGGCTCCGCCTCCCCACCTGTCAATCAGCGGGTGCTCACCTCCTGCCAGGGCTGTTTGTGCAACTTGGGGCAAGTTACTCGACCTCTATGCCTCAGTCTCCACAACTGTGAAATGCGGCTGCTAATGGTGCTTAAGGCGCAGTGGTTAAAGAGCTTGGCTGCTAGCCAAAAGGTAGGCGGTTCGAACCCACCAAGCACCTCCGAGGGAGAAAAGACCTGACAGTCGGCTTCCTTAAAGATTTACATCCTTGAAAACTCTATGGGGCAGTTCTATTCTGTCCTATAGGGTTGCTATGAGTTGGCAGGGACTCAACAGCACTGGGTAATAGTGCTTACCTCACAGGGTTGTTCTGAGGATTAAATGAGTTCATATACGGTAAAGCTTAAAACATCGCTTGGCCCATAACAAATGTTCATTCAATGTGAGTTAATTTTTAAGTACCTACTATATTCCAGGCAGTTAGTGGCAAACAGACAGACATCATGCCTGTTTTCAAGGAAGACGAGTGCATAACCAGACAAATATAGTAGTGTTATAAGTGCCAGTATCAGGAAGAGGCCTTTGAGACTTCAGAGGGTGCCGTTGAGCCAGCCCCAGGGTGAGGGATCAAGGAGGGCTTCCTGGAGGAGGCACTGCCCAAATATGACTAGGAAAGAGTAGGAGTTGAGTGGCAAAGTTGGAGACAGGGATGGGGTAAGGAGGGGTGTTTCAGGCAGAGCATACAGCATGAGCAAAGGCGTGGAGGTGAGATGGAGTGGGCTGGAGGGCTGAAAAGGTTCTGGGTGGCAGGAGCCTAGAATGTGGGAGGTGGATGGTGAGGGCTGAGGCTACGGCTGGACTCCAGGGACCAGGTGATGGAAGCTTCAGGGAAGTAGCAGTTTTGGAGAAAGATTTTAGAGGCAGAAGTAGCAGGGCTTGGCAGTTGGCCTGGCCGTGGAGGCTTCTGGGAGGGGTGGAGGAGTCACCGACAGTGCTATGCCCCCCTCAGCCGCTGGCTGCAGCCGTACACACTCAGCTGTCACCCTGGGGGACTGGAGTGACCCTCTGGATCCTGATGCAGAGACCCAGATGGTGTATCGGCAACTGCTTCTGGGGAGGGACCAGCTCAGGTGAGTGCCCCCACCCGGCTCACATCACCCCCTATGACCAGCTGGGCCAGCCGCCCACTGTAGCCCCCCATGTTCATTTATTCATTCTTTCCATGAGCATCCCGGGGGCCAGGCCCAGGGCAAGGACAGAGTATTCACAAAGGCAGGGCTTGGAAACCTCCTTGGACTGGCTGTAACGCAGAGATGGATCTTGGGAGTTTAATAATAGCCAGGGCTCCAGAGACAGTGCCATAATTCACATGAAGTCCTGATCTCCTGAGCTTGCTATATGACCTTCAACATGTTCTTTCCCTTCCTGGCTTCTGGATAGCTGTTGTTCAGTGAAACTGGCTTGCCTAGGTTCAAATCCTGACCCAGCCACTTACTGGCTGTGTGATCTTGGACCAGTTGCTTAACATCTCTGTACCTCATTTTCCTCACCGGGAAATTGGGATAAGACTAGTACTTACCTCATAAGACTGCCCTGAGAATCAAATGAACTAACACAGGTAAAGCACTTTGTAGGTGCCCATCCACATACCTTTTAATAAATGGTGGTGAAACGGTTAAGCACTCAGCCGCTAACAGAAAGGTTGGCGGATCAAACCCACCCAGAGGCTCTGTGGGAGAAAGACCTGACAATCTGCTCCTGTAAAGATTACAGCCAAGAAAATGCTATGGGGCAGTTCTACTCTGTCACATGGGGTCGCTATGGGTCGCTATGAGTTGGAATCTGCTCGATGGCACCCAACACCATTGTTATTATGCTGTGTGACCTTAGGCAAGTTACTTTACCTCTCTGTCTGAGTGCTCAGTTTGTATAATGGAGCTAATAGGTTTGTTGTGATAATTAAAGGGCTTAGAACAGTGTCTGGCGCTCTATAAATGTTTGCTGAGATGAAGATGTTAACAAGGAGGACCCTGACGGGGAGGAGGGGGAGGAAAAACCTGTAGTCTCTCCTGCAACCAGCAGAGAATCCCTGAGGTAGGGAGCAGGATTGGGAAACAGTGCTTGTCCTTCTCCCTCTCACCTTCCAGGATGAAATTCCTGGAGGGTTCCAACATGGCTACAACTCTGAAGGCAGACACAGGGAAGGGCCTCAGTGTCACGGAAGGTAAGGGGTTAAGGAGGCCCCTTTTCTTTGCCCCCTGCTCCTCCCCCACAACTTGCCCATCACACCCTTTCTCCCTCCCTCCCACCCTCCTGTTTCCAGTCCACCATGGGTGAGGGATCTGAGTGTGGCCTGGGGGCTTTTGTCTATTTTCGGATTATTCAGGGCACAGGCAAATAACCCACTGGGTCTGGGCTATGGCAGTCTACCCTGGCCCGGATGAGTCACCAGGGCCCCCCTGTCTCCCTGCCAGGGGACTGTCCTGATGCTCTGGCCCAGCAGAGAACGGCAGCTACCCGCCTGCTGGAAGTGCTCGAAGACCTGGATCGAGCCCACGAGGAGTTTCAGCAGCGGGAGCGGGACCACGCTGCCTCCAGCCCCCTCAGACCCTGAGATGCCACAGCCCAGCCTGGAAGGAGGAGCAAGGAGCTGTTGGGCCCTTCCCAGCATACCCTGGCCCAGGTGGCCTGTCCTGTAGCATCTTGATGCGGTGGCTCGGAGTCTCCCAGAGATGTGCTGGGACTCAGAACCTGGAACTAGGGGCGCAAAAGCCCTCAGGCAGAGGACAGCCTTGCACTGAATGAGCCTCGCCCTCTGGGGTGAAGTGGACTGGAGTGGATGGGATAAGGAACCTGACTTATGTGACTGAGCCTGAAGCCTCTGCTTCACCCGACTGGCCTCTAATCACACCAACAAGGCCAGCCTGGCTCTGAGCTGCTGGATACAGCTGCACCTGAATTCCTTATGCCCATGTGAACATGTTTCCCCAGACAATACACTAAATGGGCTCAGCCCTTCCTGTCTTCATGTCTGCCAATCCCTATAACCGAGTGCACCTGCCCTTGGGCAAGGACCCCCAAACCACAAGCTTTTATCATTAGGCACCCTCAGGAAAAACTGGGGCTGAGAGTCCAGTGTGCCAGATTCAGGCCCTGGGAGACTCGTACATCTTGGGCCAGGCTCTTTTTCCCCTCTGTGGGCCTCAGTTTACCCTCTATAAAATGGGGGGGTAGTGAGTTTAGTTGTGTGGTTCTCAAAATGGATTCCACCGACTTGCCTCAGGAGCCAGGAAGTAGTTTCTCAGAATGTGGTTCAAAGCCCATCCCCTGGGGTGGGGTGACGTGACTGCGGAAAATGCAGATTCCTGGGCCCCACCGAGACCTACTGCATCAGAATCTGAAGGCGTGTGGGGGGCAAGAATCAGTATTTTAACAAGTTCCTCAGGGGAGGTGGGTGGCCATTAAGTTATAGAACAAGATGGCCGGGGTGTGGGCAATTTTATATATTAAGGTTTTGGTTGAGAACGAACCATAGAGGATAAAATGTTTGGGAACGGCTGGCTGGCAGAGCTGGAAGGGCCTCCAAGGACTTGTTTGAGGATTTGTGTGACTATAGGGTGGGATATAGCTGGGGCCTACCAAACAGGATCTAAAAGTAGATCCGAAAAGATGTGGCGCTATCCCGAGAACGGCCAGCAGAGGGCGCATGGAGCTGCAGCATCCTTTACAGTAACCCTGGCAACCAGGGATGTTGCAGAAGCTAGGATTTGGGGCTGGGAGATCCTGGGGTCTGCCCCTGTTTCTCTCTAGAACCTGCCCCTCCTTTTCAAGGGCAGGCGCTGGGTCTCTGAGGTTGCAATGAGCCAATCATGGTGTCTCCCAGATCCTCTGTATTTTCTCAGCTCTGGGCCTGAGTTTCAGCGAGCAGCTGTGCGCAATGCCTTGTGTTTGAGAACTGCACTTTCACCTCTGCTCTCTTGGGAACCGGGACTAGGAAGGCCTGCTTCCCCCACAATCATCCCCCGTCCTTGCCCCAGAACAAGAGAATAATGGGGCCCTCCACTCTGCCTCCACCTGCAGTTGCCCAAGGCTGAGAGAGGCAATAGCCCTAGAGTTATCATTTGATTGTAAGCCATTACTCCTCCATAGGGGCCCCAGGAACACAGCCACCCACCCCCTCCTGGCAGGAAAAGACCGGGTGAGGAGGAGAAAGACCATTTATTTCTCCACCCACAGTGGGACTGGTAGGTTTTCAAAAGAGCGATCGCTGGCGTCCCTTTAAATCTTGGCTGACTTCCGCGTGGCAGCCAATCAACAGAGGCGGAGCTGGTGAGTTGCCTGGGCAACAGGCCCCTGGTTGGCCGGAGACTATCAGCCACCCCGCTGCCCACTCCCAAGGAGAGGAAAATTGACTCTTTGCTGTCCGCTATGTTTTTTAAGCACGCTGGCCTAAGCTAGGCCTTCTCATCTTGCTCCTGAAGCCAGAAGCTCCAGCCTTTGGATCTCGAAGTTGGGAGTGATTTGGTGAAGAGGATGGAGTGGGGAGGGGAGAACAGTGCCTTTCTCTGGACAGACATATGGCCTGGGAGTGGGAGGCCGGAGGAAGGAGGTCAGCTCCCAGAAGGACAAAGAGACACAAGCGCAAAATAAGGTATCTCTAGTCCCCCCTCTCTGGCTCATCTCTCTGCAAAACTGCTCAGGAATCTGGGGGCTCCCACCCCACCAGCACACAAGTGCTCAGCAATGGGTGGCAGAGATGGGTGGTGATGCTACAAGGGCGGGTGAGGCATGGGGGCCGACTGAGTTTCCCAAGGCCCTGGCCCAGAGGCCCCAGCGGGTCCTAGGTGCTTGCCCCGAACCCTCTTTTTGCAGTCAAGCCTGTACAGATGCGATAGACACAGATGGGGATCCCCAATGGGCACCACGGGGTCTTCCCGTCTCTTCTCCCCTAGCTGGGGGTAAGTAGAGGCACGTGTGTGTGCGTGCATGTGTTCAACAGGACACGTGTGTTTGTGTGTGAGGGTGGTGGGTCTGTCTTTTTGGTAGGGAGGTCGCTGTGGTTTCTGGAACTCTCTCTCTGCGGCGCTCTCAGGGAACTGTGGATCGGAGCTGGCTAGCCTCATGTCCTCCCAACATCCCAAATCCCCTGAATGCTTCTAGCTCTTTCCGAAGCTCCTCCCCAGCCCTGAACTCGGGCCACCAGGACTCTCTAATCCAAGCCTTCCGCCCGGGCGGTGGAAGGCGTGTGCCGGACCAGGGGCAAAGCAGGAGGGAAGGTGGGCAGCCTCGGACCTCAGGCCTTGGCCGGAGCCTCGGACACACCCTGGGCTGTGAGCTCGGCCAGCACGTTGTCTAGGTAGCTGGCGTCCGGGTAGCCATGGCCCGTGAGGTTGGATCCGAACTCGGTCTTGTGGTGGATCTCGTTCCACACTACGGTGTCCGACTCGCCGGTGGTGTTCGACGTGCCAATGGTGAAGATGAGTCTCCGCTCCCAGGCGGTGATGAGCAACCGAAGCACCTGGAGGGCGGGGTGGGCGGGGTCACAGGCAGCCCCGCCCCCGTAGCTTGAGACCCTTGAGCCCTGCCTCCCCCCATCCCCACCTACTTTATGACTCCCTTAGCACCTACTAGAAGGAGCCCTGGTGGCGCACTGGTTAAGCCTAGGTGGGTAACGGAAAGGTCGGCAGTTCAAACCCACCCAGCGGCTCCGTGGGAGAAAAAACTTGGCGATCTGTTCCTGTAAAGATTACAGCCTAGCAAACCCTACGGAACAGTTCTACTCTGTCCTGTAGGATAGCTATGACGCGAAATTGACTTGATGGCACAAAACAACAGCGACAGCTCCTACTCACCACCACCGCCAGCTGCCGCTGAATCAATTCCCCCTCCAGGCGACCCCATGTGTGTCAGAGTAGAACTGTGCTGTGTAGGGTTTTCAGTGGCTGTATTTCAGAAGTACATTACCAGGCCTTTCTTCCAAGCCACTTCTGGGTGGACTCAAATCTCCAACCCGTCCATTAGCAGCTGAGTGTGTTGACCATTTGCACCTACTAAGCACTGAAGAATTCCCTCCTGGGATGGCCCAGCTCGGCCATTTCCTTCCCCTTTGAATTTTCTGGACTGAGTACCCTCTGAGCTTCCTCAATAAAGGCTCTTTTCAAGTTATGCACCTGTTTCTTCTGGGATAAAAGGGGGCTCTCAAACGGATGGCCCTCAGCTGTGTTTGGTTTGGTCACTGCACTGCATTATAAAGTCATAGCCTGGAGATTTCATATGAAAATGTAGTTTTCTGGCTTCTCTCGAAAAACAAATGAAAGTAAAATAGACAGTCTACATACAGTATGGTGGTTAAGAGTCTGGATGCCTGGGTTCAAATCCCAGCTCCACCACTTCCTAGCTGTATGACCTTGGGCAAGTTGCTTTGTTTCTTTATCTGTAAAATGGGGTCAGAATCCTTGACTTCAGCAGGTTGGTAAAGATGAGGGTGTGATGTACCCCGAAGGGCTGGGGACATAGAGGGGGGTTGTGGTTAATGCTGTCCAGCCACTGGTGCTGGGAGGGGTGTGAGAGCAGGGATTGGGGATAATGGAGACCCAGCCCCCTCCTGTGCCCTCACGATTGGGCACCCACCTTCCGGCCCTTCTCGTTGTTAGGCAGATAGCAGTGCCGCGGGAAGCCTCTGGCCGTAAACTTCTTGCCGGGGTTGGGATGCTCAGGGCCCTGTGGGGAGGGGCTCCATCAGGTCTGCAAGCGGGGACTTGAACCACAGAGAGGCTGGTGGCGGGTAGAGGCATTGGTGTCAGGGGGGAGTGAGGGCTCACCTGGATGCCTGTGGGGATGTCGTAGACGATGCGGATGGTCTGGGTGTCTGCGAAGCCGGGCAGTGAGTGGGGGATGAGGTGGAACTCCATCTTCCCGGGCGGCTGGGTGCCTGTCTTCTCCCCGTAGATGGCCTTGCAGGTGGGGCACTGCAAGCTGCCATCCTGGGGTAGGGGAGGCAGGTGGTGAGGTCCCCAGGTGTCCCAGCCCCTCCGGCCTCCCTGCCTGCTCCCCACCTGCTGCCCTGCCCAGTGCACCTTGTTGCCATTGGAGTACATCGCCACGAGGCACAGCAGGTGGTACATGTGGCCGCAGCGGCCCAGGCGGCCCACAAGCTCGGGCCGCACGCCCTTGTGCCGCAGCACACCCTCGTAGCCTGAAGCAGTGACCAATCGCTCCATGCAGATGGTGCAGTCCTGGGGACACAGAGGGGGATGAGGATGGGGAGGGTGGTGACACCCCCAGGCCATCGTGAGACTGGGTCCCCAGGCGGCCAAGGGCAGCAGACCAGCCCCTCTCATATCCATTTGTCAAAGGGAGAAGAACCCATTGCTGTCGAGTCAATTTCAACTCATAGTGACCCTATAGGGCAGAGAAGAACTGCCCCCATAGGGTTTCCAAGGCTGTAATCTTTATGAGAGCAGACTGACAGGTCTTTTCTCCCAAGGAGCTGCTGGGTGCGTTCAAGGCACTGACCTTTCAGTTAGCAGCTGAGGCTTAACCACTGTGCCACCAGGGCTCCTTAAAGGGAGAAAGGACCCCCCAATATATTGAGCATGAATATATGACAGAGGAAGAGATTTCTCCCCCCCCCCCCAGATGGACTAAAGACTTAAATATCAAGAGCAAAACTTTAAAACATTTAGTAGAAAATATGGGTGACAATACTGGGAACTTGGGGTAGACAAGACTGTCTCAACATGACACAAAACCATTAAGTATCAAAAGATGGATAAATGTTATTAAACCTAAGCATTGCTGTTCATCAAAAGACATCTTAAAGAAAGGCAGAGGGTAAATGGGGAGAGATTTGTAACACACAGAAAAACCAAAAACCAAAACCAGTTGCTATGAGTTGATTCCAACTCATGGTGACCTCGTATGTCAGATTAGAACTGTGCTCCATAGGGTTTGCAACGGCCGTGACGTTTTAGAAGTAGATCATTAGGCCTTTTTTCCCAGGCACCTCTAGGTGGATTCCAACCAACAAAAGAACCAACCAGGAATTTGAATCACAGGGCAGGAAGGTGGGGGCTGGGCTGCAGACCACACCCAGGCCCTACCCCCAGGCTCACCTCATCAGGTGGGTTCTTCACCTTCTGCATGTACCTTCGGACCACATCCTCAGGGTTCTTACCTGCAGGGACACAGGGGGACAGGCTTGAGGGGACTCAGAGTCTACCTCTGAGGGCTTGGCTCAGGATGGGGTCAGACAGTGGGGCCAGAGGCTATAAGGGATTGGTAAGGTCAGATGTCAGGGGTTGCTGGATGTTTGATGTACAGTCGTTCCTCTGTATCTGTGGGGGATTGGTTCCAGGTCCTCCACCATGGATACCAAAATCCTCGGATGCTCAAGTCCCTTATATAAATGGCGTAGTATTTGCATATAACCTACACACATCCTCCTGTATACTTTAAATCATCTCTAGCTTATTTATAATACCTAATACGATGTAAATGCTATGTGAATAGTTGTTATATAGTCCTGTATTGTTTAGGGAATAAAGACAAGAGGCTAGGCAAACAATGCTCAAACATGAACAATATGCAAACAAGGAGTGCTGGAGAGAGACAGGAGCTGTGAAATGAGAGGCTACAGCCGGGGATGCCTGGCACATCACTTCATTCCCGTGGATTCAGAGTACTGCTTGGTGCTGGGCAAATTCAAGTTTTGCTTTTCGGGACTTTTTTTGTCTTCCAAATATTTTCCATTCCAGTTGGTTGAAACCGCAGAGGTGGAACCCGCAGATACGGAGGGCCGACTGTAATAGGAATTGGTGGAGACGGGAAGAGGGGAAGACGAGCTAACACCAGGAGTCATAGATGGAGATGGAGTCATTCGTCCTGAGAAAGAATTGGAGCTGAGGGGTCAGAGGGGCTGGGGTCAAGGGGCAGAGGTTGAGTGTGGGAGGCGTACTCTTCTTGAGGTGCTTCTTCTTGGTCTTGCGGCACACGCCGGGCACTCCGGGCACGGGCTTGACGTCGCTCTTGCTCACGGGCGGTGGGTGCAGGATGGGCTTGGGGGCCCGCGTCAGGCATACTGGCAGCCCGGCCGCACACAACAGGATCCCGGTCATCCCTGGGGACGTGCAGGGGCATCAGGGTGGGGTGTCCACCCCGGCCCCCGCCCACCCTACACCTCCCCTCCCATTATTGGGGTGAACGGATGGGGCTGCTGTCCCCCCAGCCATGCGCAGGAGGACAATCTGCACCCGTGAGGTGGGGATAGGGCTCCTCCTCCAGGTCCCGCCCACCTGGTTGACCCTCGTAATCCTAAGGCCCTCAGTTGTGTGTGTGGCGGGGGTGGGGGGGTTTTGCCTCCCCCCTGGGTCCCACCCATTCAGCCCCATCCCAGACTGAAGTCAAGGGGAGTGCCTTCTGCGGCCCCGCCCCCTCACTCCAGGACCTCACCCACCAGCCCCAGGACCCCACCCCCTGCTGTCAGGAGGCTCAATGGTAGGGAGCCTTTTCTCCAGGCCCTGCCCACCAGCCCCGCCATGGGTAGAGTCGGCCTCCTCCTGGGCCCTGCCCATCTCCCCTGCCCCAGGCTGGACCTCACCTGCCAGGGCCGGGTGGACCGGCCCGGTACCATTCAAGTTCTTCACCGGGAGTGCGGGGACTCTGTGGGGAGAAGCGAACGGGCCACAGCTGGACTCTAGTCCCCACTCCAGGAGGTCAGGGACCCTGGTTCGCCTTCTGGCTGGGACTCCTGCTGTGTGATGCTGCACACACCTTGACTCCTTTGTCTGTCTCCAATGCAACATCTAGAATTATCACCAGGGAGTTTCATCCCTACTCTGACATCCTTCTATTATAGGATGGGGTGTGGCCAGGGCCTCAGCCTGACGTGCCCTGGTCTACGCTGACCCTTCCGTTCCCACACCGGCCCTCAGCACATATGCACCTGGCTCCAAACAGCTTCCTCTCATTGGCCACCGTGCCTGAAACCCAACGATTAATGATTTAACCATTCTGGCATCTCAAAGTTTGCTATATGGAGCACTAATCCCCATAAAAGGTTTCAGGAAAGAAGGACTCAGGGATTAAACAAGTCAGGAAACACTTCACTGTCTTCCTCTCAGAGATTCACAACATAGCTGAGCATATTAGAGGCTCTGATAAGTCCTGCAAAAGGAAATATGGTTAACAATGGTCAATCCAGGTTTTCCAAAGTCATTTAATGATGGAACATTTTTTCCTTCTGGAATATCTACGGATGTGAGTTCCTGTGACTAAGGCATTGTCCCCTCTTCAAATGAAGAGCTGCTGGGAAAATTCCTTTTCTCCCCTCCCCAAAAGAGATCTGGCTTTTGGAGCCACAGCCAGAACAGCTTTCGTATCTCGGCTCAACCTCTAGCCAACTCAGTGACGCAGAGCATGTCATCTCACCTCTGGTAAGCCCATTTTACAGATGGGGATAATATAGTATCTTTCAATGTTTGCTGTGAGGATTCAATGACATTCTGCATGTCAAGGCCCGAGGAGATTCCTGATACCTAATAAAGATTCTAATAGTATTAGTCATTGTCACCGTCACCATCAGCTGTGTAACCTGAGCTGAGTAATTTCATCTCTGGACCTCAGCCCACCAAGTCAGGCTGTAACTTCTCTCCAGCTTGGAGAGGAAACCATGAAGGTATTGCAGTGACCACCTTGATTTTCAGCATCCTTACCTGTAAAATGGGGATATGAATACACCGCCCTTACAGGGTTGCAGGGAGGGCCGGATGAGAACGTGTGTTGGGATGGGCCCTGCACTTGCCCAAGTGTTCATGACTTCAGTGCTTGGTGACGCGAGTGAACGGGCGCCTTGCTGTTGATGGGATGGAATCCCGGATGGGTAAGAGTGGATGAAGAGGAAGTGATCTGAAAGTCAGGGAGCAGCCCAAAGGGACTGGATGGGGGCAGTGACAGCACAGTGTCCCAGGGTGGGGGAAGGAGCTGCCATGGTCCCCTTTGCGTGCTGGCTGAGGTCTGAGCCTGGCCAATGCTGTCCTTGTCACCTGCCCCTGGCAGACACAGCTGTCATCAGAGAGCTTGGCTGGGGAGTGTCTACAAGTGAATGGCACCTTTGGCAGGTTGGGTCCAGAAACACATGCAAACACACCCCTGGGGAACACACACTACTGGGGGAACACATCACACCCACACGTACACAGATTCAGATATACACCATACAAATACATACACACACACACACAACAGGGAAATACCCTTCCACACATGTACATGTGCAGACACACAAACACATCAGAGCACATGTCATATATGCATATACACATAGGCACACACAGACACACTCAGGGAACACCCCCCCCCGGCCCATCCACATACACAGATTCAGACAGACACACACACACACACATATACCTGGATAACACTACACAAACACAGTCCAGGGAACACCCACACCCAGGTATGTGACACTCCCCACACTCCTATTTTATAGGAAAGCGTAGAGGGATTTGCCTCAAGCTTCTCCCCTTCCCTGCCCTCATTTATTCCCACTTTACAGATAAGGAAACTGAGGATCATAGAGGTTAAGTGACTTGCTCAAGGTTGTCACTTCAATTATAATAGTACTAAAACACCTTTACTGTAGACACAAGGAGCCCTGATGGCTGAATAGTTAAGTGCTTGGCTGCTAACTGAAAGATTGGCAGTTCAAACCCATAGCCGCTCCATGGGAAAAAAGGCCCGGTGACCTGCTCCCGTAAAAAATCACAGCCTAGGAAATCCTATAGGGCAGTTCTACTCTGTCACATGGGGTCGCTATGAATTGGAATCAGTTTGACGGCACAAAACAACAGCAGTGTAGACATACTGGTTAGTGTCCTCAGTATATCTAGGTCTCTCCCCCCCGCTTACCTTCCCTTCTGTCTCATGGGAAGAAAACAACCCTTCTCCCTCTCTAGGGCTATCTGTAAAATACGTGGAAAGAAAAATATTTATCACACATGCTGTTATTCTCTTGTCTCCTACCATGGCAAACATCACTAATTGATCAGCACACTCTCAAGCTGAGCAGAATCCTCCACACAGCTTTCCATGCAGCCACTACCCGTCGGTAAAGCCAGTTTGCTACCCCAGGTCTATCTAATGCTAAAGGCTGGTCCAGCTGGTGACCTGGTCTTGCTGAGTGAGCCTTTGGCCTGAGGGGCAGGCAGAGGGTACCCCAGAAAGGGAAGGTTTCAGATCTCAGCTGCCCTAAGAATTTCCGGAACCCCTTAAAAACCACAGAGCCCTGGTTCTGGTTCAAAACAGTCAGCCTTGCTCGTGGGAAGAGAGAGTTGTGAGTGGAGCGTGACTGTGGGGCTGTTTTTTTATTTACCCGTCAGCGAGCTGGGGGACAGTCCCGAGGTGGCCCCAGCCCTTGCAATCCACAGCCCCTCCGCGAGAACCCCGGGTAGCAGAGTTCCCACGCCGCGCCAAGCGTGGGAGCCGCCCGGGCCCCCTTTGATGTGGGACACGCGGTTTCCTCACAATCAGTGAGAACATCCTCCTGTCCTGGACAAGCGACCGCTGCCCACAGGCCTCCGGGAAGGCAGGCCAGCCTCTCATCGTCTGCTCAGCCTTCCTGGGGCCCAGGGATTACTCAGGCCCCCTGAAATCTACTCAGGCAGAAGCCAGGCCTGGCTTCCCCAGGGCAGGGATGGGTCCTGCTGCCACGCTTGTCTCCTCACTGCCTTTCCCAGCCTGCGTCAGATCCTGCCTCTCCTCTTCTCTTAATCCCCCCATGGCTCCCACCTCACCCAGAGTCCAGCCCAACCTCCTTCCTCTACATGATCTGGCCACCTCACCCAGAGTCCAGCCCAACCTCCTTCCTCTACATGATCTGGCCCTGCCTGCCCCTTGAGCCTCATTTTCCCTCCACTGACCCCCTCACCCTATCCACACAGCCACTCTGGTCTCCCTGCTGTTCCTCAAACATGCCAGGCATATTTCTACCTCAGGGCCTTTGCACTTGCTGATTATTATTTGCAGACATCATAATTACGTACAGGTAGTCCTTAACTTACGACAGGATTCTGTTCCCACGACTCTGCCCTAAGTTGGTTCTGACATAAGTCAAATATCTCTCTCTCTTTCCTTTTTTTAGTTTTCATTATTATTGCCTTTTATTACCATGTCTTTATAAATCTGATCTTTGAACATCTGTGAGTGAACATCTGAGAATGATAACATCAGCAAATTACGCGCTGCAACACTGTATGTAGTACATATTACTAACGATAAGACGGACAAAAAGAAAAACAACAGATGGTTCTAAGGGTGCTTTGTTGTAACTCGAATACATCGTAAGTCGAGGACTACCTGTATGAAGAAAAATCTTTAAAAATACCTTAGAATTAATAAGTGAATTCAGTAAGGTTACCGAATACAAAGTCAACGTACAAAAATGAATTGCATTTCCATATCCAGGCAAAAAAAAAGAAACAATTAGAAAGTGAAAGATTTTAAATCCTTCTGCCCAGAATAACTCACCCCCTCACTCAATACAGGTCTCTGCTCAAATGTCACCCTACCGGAGGGGCCTTCTGATACTGCTCTACTTTAGAGAAAGCCTGTCTTTGCCCTTGTTGTTGTTAGGTGCCGTCGAGTTGATTTTGACTCACGGTGACTCCATGTGACAGAGGAGAACAGCCCCATACGGTTCTCTAGGCTGTAATCTTTACGGGAGCAGATCTCTAGTTCTTTCTCCCACGGAGTCATTGAGTGGGTTCAAACTGCTGACCTTTTGGTTTAGTTGAGCGCTTAACCGTCGCACCACCAGGGCTCCTTGTCTTTGCCCTTACCTCACTTCTTTATTTTTTTTTTTTCCCACAGCACCAATCACTACCTGACATTAGAAAGTCTTTAGCACGGCCAGGCCGTGCCTCTGTGACCGCCTCTCCTCTCCCTTTCCCTCCATCTGTCCACCCCAGACACATCAGCTGTCCCTCTAACAGGCCGAGCACTATCCCCTCTCAAGGCCTTTGCATGGCTGTGCCCTCCATTGGGAAGGCTCGTCCCCTCAAGGCTATGAGAGACTCCCCCAGGGCTCTGCTGAATTGCCACCTCATCACAGAGGCCAGCAGTGGCCACTCGACTTCGACAGCAGTATACGGCACATAGTAGAGGTTCAGCAAACACTTGTTGCACGAATGAACTGTGGAAGAAAGGAACGAATGGATTCTGTGATTTTGCGGGGATGTTCTGAGCAGACAGACGACTTGTGCGGACATACCTCGGGCGCGTTCTCCCCATGCACACATCTGATGCCCTAGCGTCCTTCAACAGTGGCTAACTTTTTAAAGCATTGCTTTTTATTGTTGATTTCATTTTTGTCATTGATCTGTGACTTAGGAGACCCCATGTGTTACAGAGTAGAATTGCCCCGTAGGGTTTTCTTGGCTGTAAATCTTTATGGAAACAGAAGCCAGGCCTTTCTTCTACACTGCCTCTGTGTGGATTCAAACTGCCAGCCTTTTGGTTACCAGCCAAGTGCAAACCATTTGTGCCACCAGGGACCTCTTTGCACACATTTGAAGCGAGCCTTGAAGCAGATATCCCAGAGAAACATCCTCTAGTCTGCAGCCTCTCTAGTCCTGAGAGGCCCTGACTGAGAAAAATTATCTCTA